TCTGACCTTTTTTTCAGAAAAAAAGATGATCCTGCTACGGTTAACCAGGAGTGACTCTAAAGGCCAACCTAGCAACTGCGTAATAGACCAATCAAGTTTCGGCATTTCTCCAGGAAAGTGTTTCTCTATAAAATAAAAGGATATAATTAACCGTTTCATCAGTTACTGAGGGTAGCCTTTAAAGTCATTCTTAATCAGGATATTCATCATGCAAATCATCTAAAAATGCCGATACTTCTCACTCATGATTGAAATCCACTTAGAAATACCTTGGAAACAGCGTCAGTGATCAAATAAAATAGTGGGTTGGCCTACTTTTCAAGCATATTTACGATCAGGATACTCAGATACAGTAGCAGTGAAGGTTTTTCTTTTAAAAAACATATAAAAGAAAGTTGGAGAGATATGTTAGTTTGTATGGTCTACGATTTGTTGATTAAATGGTGGTGCTGAAGTGTAATAAAATTACTGGACATGAATACTTGGGCATCATCAAATTGCTATAGTTCATTGTGAAATTGAATTCACAACAATATCTAATTTAAAATGGAAATGCCCACCATTGCTTCTATTGGTCAAGAAATCAACTCTAAGGAGCTATATCCTAAATCATAGGTATTTACAATCATGCAAAGTTGGATGTTTTCAAATAAAATATTTGGATAGTGTAATATAAAAGCATTATACTTAGGCTGCTTGCATGACCAAATAGTGGCTTAATAATAAATAAATAAGGAAGTCTGAGTTATATTTGGAGTACTAATTCAGCCAGACACATTTGTTAAAGCTTGGATTCAAAGTTATAGACCACCGGACACTTTTCTGGTGCAACTTGAGTGACCAGTTTTTCATATTTCTTTTAAGTGTCCTGATTATAGTGAGAACATTATATCCTTCAGTGATAAATGATTTAATTTTCCTCTAAAAGCCTTTTAGTCAGACAAAAAGTTTTTAAGTGAAGATATTTTTCCGAAAGATGAGTTCATTATCCTTAGTTTATTGAGGAGAATTCATGTGTAAATCTGCTTAAGTGATGCGAGAAATTTAGAATGCAGAAAAGAAGTAAAAATCAGTTATTCGTGACTTAACTGTAGGTTTTTTCAAATGCAAGTGAGCTATCCTAACTACTGCAGCGTATCACAGACAGTTTCACGCAGTTTTTCATTTAGGTGAAGCAGCTAAAGATCAAGGGTTTAAGACAATATAATACTTCTATAAAGGCAAGTAAATCCTGAGTTAATGGCATAAAATTAGCTGAAACTCAACGTTTCGTATGGTTTTCATGGTTATGACGGACTTTGATGGCTAAAGGCATGAGGTAAATCACCGAGGCCATTCGATAAGTTATGTTACTTTTGACTTTTGCAACATGATTCTACTATCAAGTTAACTGACAAATTTCAGTTAACTGGCACGTTTCACTAAGTAAATGATATCTCTTCCATAACCAGGTTTTTGAGTTTTTAAAAAAACACAATTTGTGATTGGTATCTCATTCTTTGAAGATGGTGTAAACAGCCTTCAAGAACTTACCGTTGTTGATGAAAATTTTCTTAAATTCGACCATTCATTCACGATACTGAAATTATTGCTCAAAGATTATCCTAAAAGGAACATATATTTCACTACTTTTTGTCACATACTAAAAGCTGTTAAGCCTTTTGTTTCTAATTCATTCTGCGATTTGAAGTAGTCCTTTGGAGAATTTTAAATCATTCCTTTACAAATTCCTGTGTCAAGGTAGGTTGCATAATCATATCCAAACTCGACAGAAGTTATCTTAGTAATTGTTAGTTGCCAAAATGCCTTAGCAGATACAAAACCTGCACCCCGCGGGTTTTCAAAGATTATTACTACCCTCATTATTTATCATTTAAAGTTTTTAAGAGATAAACCAGAGTATTTTCTATGAAGTATTATCATATGGAGTGGTATTTTGTTTAGCATAATTTACCAATGGCACATTATCAAGAAAGAACAGTTGAAGGGATAGACACGCAAAAAGGTGATTTTTTATCTCTTACTCCCAATAAATAACAATGTCATAAAATTTTTTCCGTGTAAAACATGTTTTATTTTTCAACATTTAAGAGTGTATCAATTACTATTGTGTTTTTCTAAAGATTTTCCAACATCTAGTGTTTTCCATACAGGTTAGGAACAATTCTACATGTTTCGTTCCACATTTTGGTCAGTACGGTCGATTCGCTGTTACTTTTCTTTCTAAATGTCAGGTTAATCAAATGTTTCATATTCTGTTCAGATAAATATTTTCCCTGTTTACTTTCAGTGGAAAAAGAATTTACTGCAGTTCTAGTTTTTGTAACATCAGAATGGGGAATAACAGTCTGCAGATTAGTTTGTCAATGTTGTATTAGCTAAAATAGTGAGAATTCAGTTGAAGCCGCGATTAAAAACAAATAATAACAGTTTCTGAAGGTCATATATGGCACAATAAGAACTTCATACTATCTACTAATATTTATACTGGGTGGTGATTGGAGGTGAAATGAAAATTTGGACTGCGGCCGGATTCGAGCCAGCTGCCCGCAGGTTTCCAGCCTGGTGCTCTACCAACTGAACTACGAGGTTTGACTGATAACCAGATTTTTATTTCACTTCAACTACCAAAGGTTTTGCCCGACTACCATGTGAGTTCGTGATGCGTTACTATCGTCTGATAGTATTCACACTGTCTGCCTAGTCAGGACTTCTCATCCCAATCCAAATCTAACTGAACTAGAGAGGAGAAGCATCATGCTGATTATCAATTGACTATCTGAGACAGCTGTAGTTTGGCAGACCAGTATTTATACTTGATGAGCATTCGGCTGGAAACCCGGTGGTCGCTGGTTCAAATCTGGCCACGGACCAAATTTTCATTTCACCTTTAGTCATCACTTAGTATAAATACTAGTCTACCAAACTACGGCTGTCTCAGATAGTCAAATGATTATTTATTAATAGTCAAGAATAAATTGCTTGATAAAACGGACCATTCAGTGTTGTTATTACTAAACAAACGATAACTGTTTACTTACTTGGTAGTCGCTGACAATGGAATCCAGAAAGTGGGTTTCTTGCTATTCAGGATGGAACCTCAACAACGGGTATCTGTTAGCTAGTTATTGGCCAAAAAACTTGTCAAGAATAGTGATTAGAAACAGAGAGCTTATGGAATAAAACGCTTCAGTTGCTGATTTATTATCTCACAAATATCTCCACATAAAATTCACTCCGTCAATATTCATTAATTAAAAATTGGCGTTAGATGTCGGCTAAAAACAGTCGTGGCAAGTTAAAGAAATGATTCAACCAGGTTAACTGACCAGGTAGTCAGAATATTGACTCTCTCTTTTATAAAATTTATTCGGATATACAAATCAAACAGGTTGATTGAGCTTATGTGTCAAGGGAATAAAACCTAATTGGCACTGTAAAGTGGAATCTCTTAAAACTTCTCAGTAAGAAATAAACATTTAGTGAATAGAATAATTTAGCAATTATTTGACAAGAAACCCGGTTTGGAGATTTCGGCCGCTGGGGCCAACCCAGTCAAACATGAGGACAGTTACTTAACAACAATATTGGATAAACGTCACGCTATATCGTGAATTGACAGAAATAGGAAATATGGACGGTTGAATTCGGAACAAGTGGCTCAATGGTGACGTGCTGGCCATGAGACCTGAAGGTCCAGGGTTCTATCCCCCCCCCGGGGGGGGTCTTGGGTGTGCACTCTTGATAAGTCCCATACTAGGACGAAACAGCTGTCTGGTGGTCCCAGATTTCCAATGGTTTTGCAACTGATGTCAGTCCATAATGAATACCAACCTGAAATCAATGAATAGATCCCTGCACACCTCCAAACTGAGATTTTTTTCAAAAAATGAACTTTATCACTTTTGACCCACTTAATTAGTTTATTTTACCCATTATACTGAAAAAGTGATCACATTCACCCAAAGAAAATGGCAGACATAAATGATAATCTATTTATGCTCAAAAGAAAGAATGATCTGTAGTAGCCTACCACCTGTTAGTATTGAAATATGATGTGTAAATAAGTATGTCCTACATAAGTATTAATATACGTTTTGTATGGTAGTTAATTTTAGTTGATCTAACACCTATGAAAGCATTTCTAAACATTTTTCTGAGGTTAAACTAGAGTTAATTTACCTACTTTAAATCACACTTCCATTTGACTGCTTACTATTTTTGACCAGGTTAGACCGGTTATGGGTATGCACGTCAAGAACAACGTTTGAAACTCTGAAAGTCCTAAATGCTAATACTCCTAGATTTTCATTTTTAATTTGTCTTGTCCTATTTAGTACTACTTATTATAAAAGGAACTATACTATTAGTCTGTTTTCATTCAATGAAAACTATTCAGGCAAAACTTTAAAGTCCAGTTGTCGATTATTCTCAACTTCAGACATTTTACTAATATAAACCAACCGTTCTCTATTGTCATCTGATAACACTTATCTTTACTGAGAGTTTTATTGACTTTACAGTTTACTATCGCTTATGCAAAGGTCTAATAAGGAATCTTTTCAGTAGCTAGTTGATTTATATGTTCCAGAAAACGTAACGTAGCTTTCACTTCAAAACTTTTTTATACGTTATTGCTGTATTTGACTTACAGAGTATTATAAAACTGGCATCTTCACATGACGTCCTTTTGTTATAAAAATAAAGAAATTTCAAACCACTGTACATAACCACGTAATTCTTCGGGTTGTTCAATGATTATTGTTCATGCACCAGAGTCATTAGCAGAATACTATATGCATTATTGATCAATTATTTATCTAAACGAGTGGTATAATCACGTGATCACATGACCAGGTTCAGATCATTGGTGTACAACTTAAATAATTCACGTCAATACTTCAACCAACATACTACAAAGTATAGCGAGCAGATGGCTATGTACAGTGTTAACTCAATAGACTAAATTCTTAACTAACGGTTAAATAAACAGTTAGATAATGTCTGAAATCGTTAGTGGCCATAGATCTCTTCCAATGAAAGATCCAGTAAATAAATCACTTCAGTTTCAGATATCTAACGTTACAACACAAAATAATATCTGCTATTCAAGCATACAATGTGGTAGTGCTTTAACTACAGAAATTTACGTTTATCGTCGACGCATTCAAACATTGTTACGATTTTTTGATTGTATATCAAAAATTTGGTGGGATCATTTATATCCGTTTAATGGGGACTTTATTAAACGTCCAAGTAGGACTGCTGAAGAAATACATCTCTATCAGAAATGTCTAACTACCCATATAGATAAATTTAATATGCGTAAAGTTGTGCCAGCCACAACAGCTATTGCTATGATGGAAACGCATGCTTCAATCAAAATTCTTCCAAGTAGTATACTCGGCCTAAATGATGTTACTAAGAATTTAGGTACAGCAATGACAACTGAAAATAATACCACACTACTATACAAAGCTTGTAATTTAGCTCAGAGTTTAGCAGATATTGAAAAATTGAAACAAAAGTTAATTTTTAGTGCATTAAATTGGATAATGTGTGATGGTAGAGATTACAACTTAAGAATTCAGCGTATTGCTCTATTGGATCGTCATTGTGAATCATGTTTAATTGAAAATTTCCCTGGTGTACGTGCCTTATTAATACATTATTATAGACCACGTATTTTAACAAAAGATATTGCTAACAATACTGATACTAGCTTCCCACCTTCACCTTTTTCTTCTGTGTCACTTAGTGAACCACTTACAGCAGTTAAACTGACTACGACAAATGATCAGATAACATCAGTATTCTATAACGCACGCTTACGTGCACAAAATGAAAGCTCAGAAAATATATTGGATACTGACGCAACAGATTTAAACAAGTCATATGATTCAATTAGCAATTTCTTTTGGTCAAATATTTGCGAAAAATCGAATGCTATGAAAAATAATGATGTTGTTCAAAGCGATAAGCTGTCAAGTAATTTCCAGTTGAATCCATTCTCATCATGTATAGAAACAAGTGGATTAGAATGGCTAAGTTATGATACCCATCAAAAGGATTTCAATTTATACTTATTGAATAAGAAAGAGCTGAACGAAAAAGAAAAGATAACTGATCTCAACAAGACAGTAAAATATAATGAACAAGAACCCTTGGAAAATAAACAACCATATATAAACTCTACTAAACTTAAACTGAAATCAGCTGATGACCCTGAGAGCAAATCACCTCTGCCGTATACATTAGCTTCATCTTACACATCAATTACCAGAAGTTCAGATTCAGTTACTTCTAGTTCTACGAAATGTGATAATGAATCCTCCTATTTGTCTGTGAATATAAATTATCGAGATTTGTTGACATCCCCTAATGCTGTTACAACGGAAAGACAACATCTGCTAGGACAGCAACATCAAGAAAAACAATCACCAGGATCTTCACAAATAAATGATTATTTCAAGGACAATTTTTATTCAACAATTGAAGATCCGTCAAAGAAATATGAGGAATCAGCAGCATATGGACTTGGTTGCTGTGGTAGTCTAACTGGTGTATCGCTAGGATCTAAGGGACTAAGCAAGGTTTCTAATCTGCTTTCATTAAATAAACCAATCAATGCATACGGCGAAGAGTGTACCACTACAGCTGATTCAATGGGTAGCTCCTGTAGAACAACATCACTATCCTCAAATAATTTAACTGAACAGACATGTAAAGGTGAAGGACAAACGGTTACATCAAACTGGTTAAATAATGAAGAAAATAAGTTTATTACTGTGGAAGAGAAGAAACATTCATTGGAAGTGCAGGTTAAAAATAAGAACAAGACTGGAATGAAGCAAACTGCAAGTGAATCTCGGATAAAAGCTTATCCATATCGATGAAACAGTGCTGAGGGGAAGTGTATAAAGTCTTATAACATGCATTTATTATTAATTAAATACGCTGATATTCAACCAGTGAAGAGTTGAATAATAATAAAGTGGTGTGTTCATATACGTCATTGCAATCGATCGTATCAGTTTCAAATATAATTTTGTTGTCAAGATAAAATTACTTCAAAGAGTATGCGTGTTTTCACCTACTCTCTAAAGTTTTATTTTACAGTTTCATTTAAAATCTGATTACATCTACTGTTTACAGAGCTTTTTCATTTTCCTTTAACGTTTAATAGATTATTGGTATACTACATGCCCACGTTGATTGATTGTTAACTCATGAAAGTCAACTTACAAATTCATGATACATCAGTCGTGATACACTGATATATTATTTCTTATACTCATATTAAGCCGTTACTTAGACTTACTCCTTTCAAAAACTAGGTGATTAGTTTGTGAGCCTGTAACCAGTGGGACTGTTGATTCACGTGTTCTGCACACTGAGGAGTGAATTCAAGGTCCACCCTAACAACTACTAAAATGACCATCCAGGCAATATCAACGCATCTATTAGGGAGCCACCTGAGGTTGAGCAATTGCATCCAGTATATCAACCGGAAATTGCAGATATCAATGAGTAATAACAATTTAGATTTCCTTACTTTACGAAGCAAGCCATCTTCACACTTGAAATAGATAAACTCATTCGGTTACTTGAGTTGTTACTGGAATGGTCTTTAGAGCCAGTCCACACTTAGTCACTGTCTATACTAACGTAAAACTTTCTCTTTGACAGAATAAGGTGACAATAAGTTAAAAGTGCCTACAAAAATAGATCATAGGTGGTGACGTTTACGATCACCCAGTTACATCGTGATATGGAGCAAAGATCAATGTAATGCAGATGGGTGAATAAGCAAATCGGTCAGTGATGCTTTTTTCAGCTGTGCGAGTAAGGTGGAATAAAAAAGGGTGGGGAAATTTAGTTCGTCCATGAAAGTACAATGGAGTTGTGAGTCATAAAGGGTGAGAAAGAATAGATTGCTAGTTTGGAAGGATGAATATTTGAACATCAGACAATGTATCATGGTCGCTGGTTCAAATCCGACCGCGGTTCAGATTTTCACCTCACCTTCAATCATCACCCAGTATAAATACTAGTCTGCCAAACTACGGCTATCTCAGACAGTCAAATGATAATAAAGGTACTTTTGATAACAGTTGAAGTATGAGTGATAACAAAGTGGATTATGTAATATATAGAATGGTTCATATATATATATATATATATATATATATATATATATATATATATAGTTGTATTTTAACAACTTGTCTATTCCTATTACATGACACTTGACCTACTATTTTCATCAGTTTTACGCTCCTTCCTGAGTTATATGTTTACCTTTTTTGACGTGATTAAGACGATTAAACGAAATAACTTCGGAAACTATTCAATCAAGAGTAAATTAGGAATAAGTCATGAGGAATGAAATACTTATGTTCTACCTTCTCTTCATATATTATTTACAACTGCCTATGCGAGTCGTTAATGTCTACCATATTTGTGAGATGTCTAACCCATCTTTTCTGTTGACCGAAGAAGGCTATGAACAGATGTGCAAAGCTTCTGCAATGGCCCGCTCTTTGTGGGAAAGAAAACCCTTTTGTAGAACTTTCGTCTTCTTGAATGATATTTTATGATTTGAATATAAGGCATGAACCGCGATGTCAGAGCTTTTTTCAACTGTTTCCAAATCATAGGACTTTTTTGGTGGTTTCTTGCAACTTTGACCGTGTTCGGCTAGACGTGTTAGTACTTGACGTTATGTTCCTCCAATGTATGTGGCATCGGATCCACTACAGTCTACCTTACAAACACAATTCTGTTGTTCCAAATGGGGAATCAGATCTTTTAATTTACACAGGTGTGAGTAAAATGTGTTCGTCACCCTAAAGAATACTCTGATGTTGTAACTATTATGGATACTTCTTATTTCCTCTTATGTGGATGTTTGATAAGGAAGTACTATAGTACTTATCCAATCTTTCTGGGTCGGCTTTTCCATATCTTTTTGCGATAAACTTTTTACTAGCTTTTCCGGATAAAAGTTTGAACTATGACTAATCATTAAAGTCTAAGTGAGTTACAAAAGGTCAAACTGATGGTCAGTTGAATGAGTGAATATATTCAGTAATAATTGAAAAGAGAACAATAACAAAATAAAACAGTCATTCACACACAGAAGTTATAGGTAAGGCAATATAACTTTATATATCAGACATTCAAAGGTCGATTGAAGATCTTAGAAAGGGGAGTAAACAGTCAATAAATTTAAAGCAACTGGTCCCTTTGATAAATTTAAGCAGCGTAATGAGAAGACGAAGATTATCTGAAACGTGATGTATAAGCGCTATACATTTCGAACAATCTGATCACACATGGACTTGTCGAACTATTTATATGAAAATTTACGAAAAGGTCAATGAAGTTAATAGGAAACATAGGAATAGGAAGGGATAGAAAAAAAGGAAAACCTTACTCTTGGTATGAAAATTAAAATCAATACTACCAAGGTAAATTCAGCGTGAGTACGAGTTCAACAATTCGACAAGTCCATGTGTGATCAGATTGTTCGAAATGTATAGCACTAACACATCACATGTTTCAGATAATCTTCGTCTTCTCATTAAGCTTTTACAGGTCTGACTAGTGATTTCTCACTACTATTTATAAAGGTATACAAAGGTTACTTCACTTCTCTATTAAATTGTGTTAGTGATGGACGTTTATCCAGGGGTAGTTTGTCAGACTATATTTGTGACTGATTAGCTGGTTTATTATCAGTCTAAGCATAATCAACAACGCAATTTATGATGAGTAACTATAATATTGTAAGAGCTTGGACTATACTAGATCACTTTAGAAACGCCTCATTAAACGTATGCTTGTACTATGGAAATTCAAAAATATATTTTTCAATGTGATCATTTGACTAATATGACATCACGAGGTATTATTGATTTTGTGAATCAGAAAACTATGTAACCCTAAAAGGATGTGAAAATAAGTTGGTCAGAGCTTTGCGCTACATAGGAATGGATGACAAAAGTAACATCTAGGGTGTCGGAATTTTGTACAGAGATTTGATTTTATATGAATAGGGACAAATCCATGAAACTCTGATTGTGAAGATAAATGCTATGAATAAGAACAGAAAGAAAAACGGATATTAAACAGTCTAGAGGTAGTCACTGATAAGAAAACTGACACTGGAGGTCACCCTAACAGCCACTTATGCAGTTAACTAGGTTCCTACATTTTATGGAAAAACTACCTTTCCTCCAGGAATGACACAGATAAATAGACAAAACCAGTGTGGAACCTGGTACACAAGTGCATCAGCTCAAGTTACCACACTTCACAGCAATATACAAAGAACAGGTGGATAGAAAATACTGATATTACAAAGTAGACAAAGTTGTGTGAGAGAATAAACAATCTGAAGATTATAGTTAGTGTAAATATTCAAGCTTTGGAAGATGTCAAGGAGTGAATACATCTACACCAATGTGACCAATTTTCAGCCATGTCAACAGAATTCCTCAACCACTGATTCCCCTTGTCTCATGGACCCAACCAATCAATTCACATCTCCCCAAATGACTCAAACCAACAGTGAGGGACTTAATGGACTGATACCATGTCTTGCTGTGATCACCCTGAATCCTCTTCCAACCTAATCCAACTTCTCCCAGCATGGTACGTTTAGGTAGGCAGTATCTCGACATGTCCAAGCCATCTTGTTAGTTGAATGGAGTTCAGAACCCCATCGACTGACTTTTCTGCCTTATGTAGTATCCTTCTCCTGACCTTAACATTGTTCATATGGTGGGCAATGTTGCGATGACACCTGTAATTAAAATCATGTAATCACTTTATATCTTCTACTTCCAGTGGTGGTCGAACAGCCGTATAACGGGACAGAACGAACTGCTCCAGATATTAGGAAACCTAACTAGTTACTTTTGTATTTGCTCGGTCATAATAGTCGCATTATGGGAAAGAAAGTGAAAGAAACAAATACAGCGACTTCACTATCCATGGGAGTTTTATCAATGTTTACGCAAAACACTTATTTCATTACTTAGCTTCAGGTCAACAGGATATTTACTTCCCAAACTGATATCTGATCAGAAAATCTTTTTTCTTTCTATCTGTATTTACGCCTTCAAGGACTCCCACTTGAAACACCATGACCGACACGAATTCCTATGTATGCTTGTGCCACATGTTTACCCGGACTTACTACAAACGTATAAATATGCACACACTCATAATTATTTTCAAAAATAATCATAATTGTGTTTGAAAGTTTGCAAGTTCCTGTCAGTTTCAAGGTAGTATTCATCATGGACTGACATCATTTGCAGAATTACTGAAAACCTTCGGGTACTTGACTACTGTTTTATCCAGGTATAGGACTCATCATCAATGCGCACTCACGACTTCGCCAAGGATAGTACTCGGGACCGTCAGGTCTCGTGGCGAGCACTTTACTAACCGGCCACTAGGATATAATTCAGTGGTCCACATTATACTATTTCTGTCAACTGGTTATATAGCACGACCGCCATTTAGTGCCATTGGTAGGTATTTGCCCTCACATTCTGCTCGAATGACCCCACAGATTGTTACCGCGAACCTCTCAACTAAATTATTGTTCAGTGCTCATTAGTGATATACAAAAAGATGGGTATTCTAAAGCCTTGATATGAAACCATGACTCGTGGCGTGAACCAAGTTAAGTCCGAGGGCAAATATTCACCAACGGCATCGCATAGAGGTCAGGCTATATCGCTAACAGGATAATGTGGGCCATTGGATTGTGACTCAGTGGCTGGATGGAAACGTGCTGCCCATGACCTGATAGTCATGAGTGTGATCCACGATAGGGCCATGAGCGCTCGCTGCTAAGCAGTCCTATGCCTGGATGATACAACTATCCGGTGCTTGAAGATTTTCAGTAACCCTCCAACTGATATCAGTCCATGTTGAAAACTACTTTAAAAATAACCAGCAAGTGATAAACAGTCTTGTTTATTTCATTTATATTTTTACCAACTGACTTTACTGTCAAACTAGGTTGACATAAACTCACGAAACATTAAAAATAAGGATTACCAGACAGATGTTTCATCTTATTTTAGGGGACATTCAACAATAACTAATCACAATCTTCAGCAGGAAGGAGACTAAGAACATCAAATCCGATGGTGAGCAGGTGGTAGTGCTATACTGAGAAGTGAATTAGTCAAAGTTGAGAAATTCTGGTCAGTGGATTGCAACTCACTGTTCGAATGGTAACATGTTTGCAGCAAAACTTGATGGTCATGGGTTTGATTATGCACGGGGTTGTGTTTGATCATTGTTGGAACTCTCAGACTGTATTGAAACGTCCATCTAGTGCTTTCTAGTGTTCTCACACCAAATAAATGAAGCTTTTTCTTCTTTTATCAGTCCCATTTTTTGTTCTATTCTATTTCTGTACATGAATGAATACATACGATACTTTTCTGACTACTGGTTTTGTCAATAAAGGATTCTAAAGTAATGCGCTAGCTTCTGTTACGCATTCCTGTACTATTTGTGCAATCATATCGTCTACTTGTTCCTTTGTATAAAGCTTAATATTCAAGATAGGTAAGTCATCATATCACGATGCAAAGAAAATAGTACTTCTAGTTAGTTTTAAAGATGGATGTTCAAGAAACATTGATCATTGGTCAGGTCAACATCTTGCTTCGACTAAATTCACTAGGTTGCGTCGACCAGTGACCTTTACAAGTATCAGCTCTTAATTGCAGCCTAACGATTAGACAGAAAAACTCTGTTTCTTAATATTAGGGACACCAAAGAAAGCTGCTTCCAGTCCCTGCCACCACTATAAAGCCTATTTTGACTTAGGTTCGTTTTCTTGTCAATAAAATCTTGCAAACAGTTTTTACTTCGACGTTTTGAACAACCTTGGTATCTTGATAAGTGTTAGCAGCTTGGGTTGTCAATTTTTTTCAGTATTGATCCTCCTCGATCTATAAGTCATTTCGTAGAACTTTCAGCACCATTCTGTCAATCATTCTCAGCGCACCCTTGCAAGGAAGTAAAGTTTATTTTTTCTCCACCAATACTGATGGAGGCAGTTAATTACCAGTTTCTGATGAGTACCTTTCTCCCTGATTAAGTAGTCGACAAAAACTTACTCCGTCTAAACTTCAACTATTTCTTTGCATTAATTCTTTTCCTGGATACTTGTCAGTTGCGTAGTGAGAAAAGGTGTGTAGTAAACTCCAGAAGATACTGGTGACATTTTCTTAGCTTAGAAAAACAAGTGTTTTTCACATTTCTTATGGCTTGATAGTACAGATTTCAAAGTGACCTCTAAAATGTCCAGCTGTAACTTACTTTTTCACAAACGCTTCTCTGGTGGCAATGAAAGTATGAGAGTATATTTCAATATAATAGCAACGTGTTCAGAAAACAGAAACTAGATTTCATTTAACGTTTTGTTAAGTAAGCCTCAGCTACTTTAGCATAATGTTTGGACTTTTATTAACACAAGTATATGGTAAAATAGTACATCAAATATTTAGCATTTCTTAACAACCGGCTGCCTGACCAATGACACATGCGCACTAATTACTCTATGTACTATTTGACCACATACTTTGGTGTGAATAAAAGTCCAAATATCCTGCTAGAATAGATGTGGCTTCCATAAAAAAATGAACTCAAGCAGATTTGGAGCGGTTATATGGTTTTAATTACAGGTGTCATCGCAACATTGCCCACCATATGAACAATGTTAAGGTCAGGAGAAGGATACTACATAAGGCAGAAAAGTCAGTCGATGGGGTTCTGAACTCCATTCAACTAACAAGATGGCTTGGACATGTCGAGATACTGCCTACCTAAACGTACCATGCTGGGAGAAGTTGGATTAGGTTGGAAGAGGATTCAGGGTGATCACAGCAAGACATGGTATCAGTCCATTAAGTCCCTCACTGTTGGTTTGAGTCATTTGGGGAGATGTGAATTGATTGGTTGGGTCCATGAGACAAGGGGAATCAGTGGTTGAGGAATTCTGTTGACATGGCTGAAAATTGGTCACATTGGTGTAGATGTATTCACTCCTTGACATCTTCCAAAGCTTGAATATTTACACTAACTATAATCTTCAGATTGTTTATTCTCTCACACAACTTTGTCTACTTTGTAATATCAGTATTTTCTATCCACCTGTTCTTTGTATATTGCTGTGAAGTGTGGTAACTTGAGCTGATGCACTTGTGTACCAGGTTCCACACTGGTTTTGTCTATCTGTCAGAACAGTTATATTTTGTTTTATTAAACACGTTGAGGTTATGCAGAAATGTACTGTCGTAATGAATAAATTCGACTCAGCACCCAGCTTTTCCCCGGGGCATTTGTAGCAAACATGGTTTGAATATCTATGATTCATCTTCTAACCTAGAAATTAACAAATATTTCTAATCTTTTAGTTTCAAAATATATTAACCAGTGATTTATTACTTTGATAAACATTTATTAATTTCAATAATTTGTGTACAGAAATTGTTAACATAACATAACAGGCAATGAATAATTATAGTATTCAGTTCATGAGTTTGATGATACATGCACACTACATGTACATGCTATTCATTTCAATAATATAACACTTTTCTTCGTTTTGCATTATTTTAATAAGCTTGATTTTTTGGTTGATATCAAATGTTTAGTTACTGAGACGATTATTTTTTTAAGGTAACAACTTTTCCTAAGTATGTTGTATAACAAACATCACCAAGAATTAAATTGTAACTTAATTCATTGAAATGCGTTAAATAAATATCACGAATAGGCAGTCGGCTTGGATGTCCATTGATCAATGCCGTTGTGTAACCATCGGTAACCTTGATTAAAGAAAAGAATGTAAATATAAGGAGAAGATTTTTGATGAATGCATAACCTTGAGAAAGTAATTGGAGTACGCTGCAGTACTAAAATGTTGAACTCCATGTTGGAGAATAAGCTCACGTTTTACATTACTAGAAAATGAGCAACTTAGTAGTATCATGAGACAGACCAACTAAAACTGAAATACAGAAAACGCAGATAATAGTTTCAAGGAAGTAATTCATATAAAGATACTCCTCATCGCAAACAGACTAAAGGATTTATTTTGCTTATTATTATTATGATTATTTGTCTCTAGTGTTTCTAGTGGAACATAGAGCTTCAGTAGCACGTCTCCATTTCACTCTCTTCTCTGCAGTCTTTTATACATGGCTCCAAGACTCCTCACAAACTTGCATTTCTTCCTCACATCATCTCCTTCATGTCACCCTAGTCTCAGTCGCCCGACTCGTCATTTCCCTTTCGGATTCCACTCGACGGCCTGACATGGCGCGTGATGTCACCAACTGGTCTCCTCAGTGTATGCTTAGTCCAATCCATCTCCACTTCCTTCTGCATGTTTGTTGGGTGATGGACTGTTGGTTGGTTCGTTCACAGAGACCCTTGTTGCTTATTCTTATTATTCCGGTCATCTGATCTGATCTTCACTATCGAGTGAGCGTATGTCGTAGCTGTTGATGAATGTGTGTAGTTTGTTGAGAGGGCTTTTCGTAACGTGCCAAATCTCTCAACCATCTCATACAAGCACTGATTTGACTGACATTAGTGTTGAAAATCTGGATCTTGTTCCACATATTCTGAGTGCATTAGATCTCCACACTGGTTTCGGATTAATGCAGGGAGGCCTGTCTTGCTGTCTTTTCCACCCTGGCTTTGACATCCTCATCTGTGCCGCGTGTAGTTGAAACGATGCTGCCTGCCTAGGTAGATCAAAGAGACAACCTCCTTTAGGTTTCTCCCGTTCATGGTGATTGATGCTTGTTGTTGATGCTGTTGTTGGTTGGGTATCTTCATCACCTCCGTCTTCTCTGCATTCACTTGAAGTCCCGTCTTCCCTGCCCTGCCCTGACGTGCCCTGCCCTGCCCTACCCTACCCTACCTCTTCTGTCAACTTGTTAGTTTTCGTCTGTAGATTTTCAAGTTTGTGCGACATCAGACATAAATCATCATCCGTGAAGTGCAAATCTTCTAGGGTCTCTTCATCGGTCAAACAGCGTATGTCCATCTTCTCCCCCCTCCCCCCACGGTTTGTTGCTCAATCCAGTCCAGTTCAGTCGACCACAATCAGGGAGATCATGGGTGATAGTAGGCGGCAGCCTTGTCTTACACTTGTCTTCACTTCAAAGGCATCAGTGAGTAGCTTTCCATTGTGAATCACTTGGAATGTAGCATGATATAGCATAGCATATATAGCATATATAGCTGTTGAATGAGATTGATAAAGGTTTGTGGTATTCTGTAGTGTTGAAGCAACTTCCAAATTACGCTGTCGAGGGCCTTTCTAAACTCGATGAATTTGAGGTAGGGATTTGACTACCATTCTATACTCTGTTCTATCCCACGTACAACATAGAATCGTGGATTCCTGCTGCTGAGGAATCCCAGAACACGATAACTGTTTAACTCTCTCTGACTTTCATGAAGTTTCTAACTGTCTTCAATCTATGATGACACATCTATAAATTGAAGTGATGAGTAATCAAACCAGCTTGAGATGATGGGTGTTTAGACAAACAATTATTTGGTCAAGTACAAGTGTAGCTTTTGACCATGATTAGCATTAACATCTTTTAGAGCTGATAGAAATTAGACGAAAACAAAATCAACTTTTGCATGAAATCAAGAAACTAATTGATTATTTCACTAGTTATTAGGGAGGCCTTTAGAATCACTGATTTTCCTACTAGTTAGTTATTTATGTATACTCGCTCACCTGGTTGGCCAGTTCAAGACGACAGACTTTAAAGACCAAGCTGGCAGCTGACGAAATAGCCAATCGCCTTTCCATACTTTTTATTGGTAAGGTTATTATTCTTAAAATGAAGAAACGTGATTAGTTATCTCAGCAGTTGGTAGGATGGTCTTTAAAGTCACTACTTCAATGCTATCCAAACTCGAACATGATAGATGAGTGACTTTAAAGGCCATCCTAGCAACTACTGACATGACCAATCAGGCTTCGGTATTTCGTTTGGTAGAGCACATTTTCATGAAATAAACCAACGTAATTGGCTATCTCATCAGTTGCTAAGGTGGATCTTAGAGACACCCTGATAGGTGGTTGGGGAAATTAAAAAGGGCTGCTAAGATTTTTATTTACAACTGTAATTATAGGCTCCAGAAAAGTGGTGAGATACATGATCCATATCCAAAGTGAAATGAAATCGGTCATCTTTCGTCCACAATTGTGTGAGTTGACCTTAAAGGCCGACTCGAAATTATTTATAGTAACCCATTATATTATGGTCATTTTATTGGCAAAGGTACTCTTCAGGGCAGTGACTTCAAAGGCCACCTTAGCCACAATTTAAATGGATCATTAGACTTCTCCTTTTTGTAAAAATCTACCTTTCTAACCGAAATGGAAAAACCTTATTGGTCATTTCTATTGTTGCTAGGGTGGCCTATTAGTGACACCCCGTCAGGCAACATTTTAAACAGATTAGTTATTGCAGTTGAAGTAACCAATTTGACTTCTCCATTTTACGGAAGTTTGCCTTTCCAGCTGAAATGAAGAGGCCTGATCGAACAAATTGCTACAAATGTCTTTGAAAGCTACCCTAGCAACTGCTGAAATAACCAATCAGGTTTAGAGATATTTTGCATGGGAGAGTAGTTTTTTACTAAATAAAGGAACGTAATTTTTTTCTAAACACTTGCTAGGATGACCTTTAAAATCATGACTGATACACAGTTCACCTACTTTCAATTTATTCGGCAATGCTAGAAGTAAGTATCGACAAGATTATCAATGTGATGAAAATGACACACGTAGGTTTAATCCGATTGTGGGATTCCACTGTTGTTTACTTTGTGAACAAAGAAGTCCAGAACCTAAATTTTTATCTTCTGAACACTCATAATCGCACGAAGGGAGTTCATGTCATGTCCCTGACATGAACAGTTAGAAACCACTAATACCAACTTGTAGTATGTTTTACACGAATCTTTAGTCATGTTGAGTCAGTGGCAAGGATAAATTTAATTTCCGATGCATAGAAAATCGCCAGATATTGAAAGTTACTTGCAGAAAAAGTAGTGAAAAGCTTTTAAAATAAGGATAACTCTTCAGCAATAACTGTCTCTACTGTGAGTGCCTAAGGATTTCTGACTTCTTTATGTGAAATAAATCAGTATACTATTTACTAATTTGTGATAAATACTCTCCTATTACGGCCTTTTACTTTATTAAAAATTAACAGTAGCTATCAAATAGACAATTACCATCTTCATCGCACATAGATAAATATGGTGAAATGTATGAAGATTTGTTGAAATGTTCATTTAATCAACATTGTATCTCACATGATTGATAACCCTGTTCAGTTATCTATGTTACATGTATTAGGATTGACAAGAGTGTGTATAGAGGTATAATAAAAATTCCCTTTTCACTTGTTGAAATTGTGCTTAACTGGGTCATAATCAGTAATTATCACGGAGACTCTGAGATATTCGTTGCTTGTTAGAATGGTGTAATTGATACTGGTTGCCAATTGAAAGTGATAGGAAACTTAAGTTGGGGCAGAATTGAAACCACTAGCGTCACAGATGGTGACTTACCACGTATATACATGATAACCTGGTGATGATGTTCAGGCCTAATCAGTTGTTGGCGTCCATAACTCTGTCAACAGAGTGCTGGGACGATGATTCTTAGGCAACCAGTTCTCATCTCATCTCACCTTCACTCACCACCTAGTAACAATCACTAACGCTTTTAATCCCATTAGAGGATAAATTCATGGGTAACTCAATAAAATTGCTAACTACCTAGAATGCAGTATTGGTTATGGGGAAAGACAAACGAAACTAAACATATTTTTAGGGTCCCTATATTACATCTAAGAACTTTAATTGTTAGTGTGATCACGGTCAGTAATTTTACTCAGAAAAGCAAGAGAATAAAATAATTATCAGGGTGTTCAGATACATTACTGATTCTCAATACTCTGAAGTACTTGGTACCAATTGAAAATGTTCAGCTGTATTTCTTGACAGGTAATTTATAAAAGTATTACTGTAGTCAAAATTTATTAAACTGCTTATTATTCAGGGTTAACTATCAATGAAATAACTTTTATTGGTTCATATCGACCAAGAAAGTTGCAATATGAAAGAATTGTAGTTCATTTACTGGAGTTTATATGATTACCTAGAATGATATTTAAAATGTATGTCAAGCTATAGGTTGAAATCAAAAACAGCATTATAAAACTCAGCAGAATATTCATTTTCGTCACAAAAGTGTTTATTGAACACTAAATTTCTTGTAAGCAGTTTATTCAGTTTGCACTTCTTTCTGGAATATTTGTTTCGTGTGACTTGTTTTGATCGAACCACCGCTGATGGATCAAAGACCCTATCAACATTAGGACATGGTTTTGACCTAAAGTAGCTTGAAGAAGTTCAGAGTATATAGACCCAACCTTCCTTGAGATATTTTTGAGGGGTGACTTTAAAGGCCACCTTAGCGACTTATGAGGCGGCCAATTACATCTGTTTATTTTGTGAAAAAGTACTTTTTCAGGCTAAATACCGAAGTCTAATTGGTCATTTCAGTAGTTGCTATGGCGGCCTTTAAAGTCATTCATGGTTGAGGGGTTGATATCTTTGCTTACATTTTCAAAAGATAACAACCCGGTTTTAGTTTTACAGTGTAACTAATCCTGTCAACACTATCTTGTATGCTGAGTGTATTTGACAAAAGATAAATCTAAGATATCTAGGCCAGAAATTAAGATTCAGTATGGAAACTCCTAATGAGTGAGGGGGTTACTTTTAGGAGCTGAAATGATCGTATCAGCATTTGAAATTATCACAAAATGAATTATCGTTATCAAACAAGTTTCAGCGGTAGAACTGAAGAGTTACTCATGACAACAGATGACCTCATTGCTACCTTCAGTGAGCTTTCTTGATTTGAGAAAAATGACTTTGGTCATTTAATTGTAATAATATTGTAACGAACCTATGGATAATTGTTTTGCTATCTGCGGTCTCTTAGTAAACGAACGGTAGGGGGATAAACTGAAAAGTGATCATTTATCATATGATAGTAAACTGGATTGCCACATCTTCTTTATGAGACAGGGAACTCATTCATATGATGGCTATAGCTTAAATGACAATCAGTTTTTCCTTAAAGACTACTCGCTTTTTCCTCCTACATACTTCAACAGCGCTTATTAGCTTATTGTTTCCAATGAAACTGAAGACTTCAGTTTATTTTGAGAAGGAAATGTGAATATAATGTAATTTGCAAATATCCTCACCTTTCCACATTCGTCTTTTTCAATATGAAATTTGCGAAGTGGATGATATTTTTCCAGAATTGTATCATCATCTCCTAGCAAACGAATATTTTCAGCCAAGGAAACACTGGAGTTAGCAGCTGAATTCAATGACCCAGTACATGACAAGGATATACGTTGAACAGCTACATCACTTGTCAATTTTAGGAAATTAAGCTGTTCTGGATCTATGGCATAATTGAACTAAAAGTGTAACAAACAAAATAAAGATTTAGCAGTAAACGGTAGACAGGTGTTGAAAAATTTGAAAATTAAAAAATGAGTATGTCTTATCTATCCTTTGAAAAATGGGACGGAGAAAATATTTGTTCGACAAATGTCTTGTGGTAATTTAAGATTCTTTTACTTAGATTTAATCATACCTCCTAAGACTATGGAACTTAGTCTACATGAGAAAAATATCTTAAGTCCCGACGTGATATTGTAAGGAGGGCTGAAGTCATTGAACGAAAACGGTACATGTAAGTATTCTCTGTTTTGATACATTAGATTTCTGTCAACAATTCCGATTCCGTCATCGATGTCTGTTGGAAATGAGTAAGCACACTGAATAATCAGTTATTAGTCCTCCGACGACAGCCGAAGTCCTGAATGCCATAAGGCTACTGAAATGCGGGAAAGCAACAGGACCAGATGGGATCACGCCAGAATCGCTGAGAACAGACGCAGGGACAACAGCTCACACCATTACTGCAGAAGGTCTGGAAGGAAGGAAAGGTAAATGCCCATTGATTGGAAGAATGGCTACCTTGTCAAACTCCCAAACAAGGGAGACCTAAGTCTTTGCAAGAACTGGCGAGGAATCATGCTCCACTCCTGTCCACCCCAAGCAAAATATTAAGCCGCATCATCCTGGAGAGACTAAAGGATGCACTAGATTCAAAACTATGACCGGAACAGGCTGGCTTCAGGAAGTACAAATCATGTGAGGACCAAATTGCAACGCTTCGCATCATCATAGGACAGAGTATAGAATGGTAGTCAACTCCACACCTCAACTTCATCGATTTTGAAAAGGCCTTCAACAGCGTCGAACGAGAAGTAATTTGACAGGCAGCTGCTTCAACACTACGGAATACCACAAACCTTTATCAACCTCATTCAACAATTATATGAAGACGCCACATGCCAAGTAATTCACAATGCGAAGCTCAGTGATGCCTTTCAAGTGAAGACAGGAGTGAAGCGAGACTGCCTACTATCACCCATGAAATTCCTGATTGTGTTGTGGTCGACTGGATCATGCAGCAGAAAACTGTGAGGAGGGAGAAGGGGGGACACGCTGGACCGTGGAAAAGAACCTAGAAGGCTTGGATTTCGCCGATAACTTGTGTCTGATGTCGCACAAATTGGAAGATCTACAGGCGAAAACTAACAAGTTGACAGAGAAGGTGAGGTAGCGAAGACGGAACTCCAAGTGAATATGGAGAAGAGAGGTGATGAAGATACCCAACCAACAACAACAACAGCAACAACAAGCTCCAATCACCATCACTAGGAGAAACCTAAAGGAAGTGGCCTCCTTCACCTATCAAGGCAGCACTGTTTCAACTACAGGTGGCACAGGCGAGGATGTCGGAGCCAGGATCTGAAAAGCAAGAAAGGAGTTCATTAGCCTGAAACCGGTGTGGAGATCTTCTGCACTCAGCATGTGGAACAAGATCTAGATTTTCAACACCAACGTCAAGTCAGTACTTCTGAATGGCTCAGAGACTTGGCGCGTTACGAAAGGGATTTCCAACAAACTACAGACATTCATCAACAACTGCCAATGATTGATACTGAATCTCAGATGGCCAGAATAATAAGAACAGGCAACAAGAAACTCTGGCTGGCTGGTAACGAACCACCCAAGAACCTTTTGCCCAACAAATATGCAGTAGAAGGAAGTGGAGATGGATTGGGCATACACTGAGAAGGCCGACTGGGGACATCACGCGAGAGGCCTGGCACTCGAGTGGAAGCCAGATGGGAAGCGACGAGTTGGGCGTTCGAGGTGAGGGTGACATGGAGGAGATGGTGTGAGGAAGAAATGAGAGCTTGTGGGCAGTCTTGGAGCCAGGTTCAAAAGATTGGAGAGAACAGAGTGCACTGGAGATGTGCTACTGAATCCCTATGTTCCATTAGGAACCCAAATGACAAATAAAATAATAATAAAACAATCTGTCTCAGATATCTGCTACTTTATAGCCTTGAAGGTGATTTGGACGCTTTCAAGGTTACATTCAAGTCAAGCATAGTTTTGAAATCCGAAAATTGAAACTATAATAATATTTCATCACCGGAGGTTATTGTTGTCACAAATGTATCAAAGTTTGAAAATTCTGTTCATATAGAATGATTCCTATTACAAGACACTTTGAGGAAGTAGGTTTTTCAAAATTGAAGAGGTTTGGTGAAAGGTTAAGTGAAACAGTGCTGGGCAAGTAAAATATGACTTTGGGCGAATCAATTATTGGTCGATCAATGAATACACCAATCAATCTTTCAAATGCTCATGAAAAAAAGATGTAATATAATCCAGATGGAAAAGTTCTTCTGTAATCCCATTGCTTTTTGCCAACCTGAAATATAGATTTGGACACCAATGGTGAGTCATATTGAAGACAGTTAATGTTTAAGAACCACGATATCAGTCAATGAAGCACTTAATAGTAAAAATTCAATCTTCTACTTTTACTTCTCAAACAATCGTTCATTATGAATGCAAGAAGTGTTGTATATTGAATTGTTCAGATTTCTCAGGTTCAAAGTTTCATAGAACATTGACACTCGGAGACATTTATAAAGATGTAGATAAAACTTGTACTGCATACCTACCTAACCTTTTATCAGTCAAGTCCTTGATCGTAATACAGCTTTTTTTGTTTCAAGCAAACGCGGTTTGGAGTTAGAGAAATGAGAAGTCTTGGTTCGAGTCATCAGAGTTCTATGTTGATACAATACGAATCAATTGGCAACATTATGTTGATCACCAAATATCGTAACAACTAATTTTTTCTGATTAAGAATTCTGAATTTAGATAAGAATTATTTTCCTCGTACTGCATTACTATATACAGTTAAGTATTGATAAATTATTGGTCAGAGAGTAAAACTTTGGATCGTTTGGTAAGGAATTGCTATTTTCATCCTATGTATTGGGCGACTTTGAAGGTTACCGTAGCAACAATGAAATTGACCAATTAGGCTTCTCCATTTCGGCTGGAAAGACAGATTTTCATAAAATACAGAAGTCCTACTGGTTGTTTCAGTTGTTGTTTGGAATGCTTTTAAAGCCATTCAGAAAATCAGAGTCAAGTGCAGCGGATAGAATTAATGTTGACTGAGATTGTGTTAATGTTTCTAGTGGTATGTAGTCTTCCCTTCTTAACTAATTTTGGTTTTCATTTTTCGTCATATACCAAGTGGTGAAAGCGATTACTTTCTGGTTGACTTTGGCTACCACCTTATGATATGCACAACAACACCAGTTCTTTTCTAATTTATGAAACCTACATTTTCTGTTTCTGACAGTGTTTTTAAACTACTTTGGCGCTAAGCAGTGACACTGTCGATCATCTAATGAATTCAACAGTCTGCATCCGTTCAAAAAATCATGAACATCTTGATTGAGAAATGCCGCTTAGCTTACCTGTAATATTGCTTTTCCACTCACCCTTCCTTGATTTAATACTTACAGTAAATGATCATGTGTCTAAGTTGGTTTTGCATCTGAGTATTAGAATAATTGTTGAAATAAAAATACGTATCTTATGTTAAGACACTACAGGAAATGGCTTAACATTTCACCATCAACACACCCTCCCCACTGACTTCTTTGTCTTCATGTCCATTAATGATTACTGGTACTTAAACCATCAGTAATGACCTGATAAAAGACCTGTTACTTATTTTCACTGCGTTCTTTTGGTAGACCACTGCAAGTCCCTTAAACTTTCGTCTTCGTCTATTAGTTCGTTAATAATAACCTAATGGATCATATACATTGGTATGGAATCGGTAGCTGACACTAGAGTAACCGAAATCCCATTAAAAACAAAATCCGAAAGTTTTCCAACATTTTGTCAAAATGGGAAGATCCCTTGGTAGTTGCCTCATCCTGAAAATGTCTCGTATTGCAAAAAACATACTGATGGGTCCTGTTAAAATATAAAAACCTTACATTCATTGCAATTCATGCAAATAGTCTGTGCATTCTACGTTCTAACTGAATTGATCATTTTCTGTTGTTGAGTCACTTATCTTCTTTATTTCCTTCCAATGTTTCCATTTCATTCTTCAGAACCTCTACCAATTGGATGATAAATTTAATTGCTTTCCCCATGGATATCATACCCTATACTGCATTCATCTGTTCATTGAAGGAGCACACAAGACAATAAACCTAGACTTTTATGGTCTTAATAAAGGCCGTGTTGTGTGGCTGGCAGATTTCGCCTTGATAAAGTGACCTTTCGTTCGATTCCGTCTCAACTTTTACTCGGCATTTATCATGCGTTCGATTTGTGAAAGTGTTGGTAAATGACTGACTGTACGTAAACATTACCTATCAACTCTTCCGTAACTTCATTGTTATCATCAAAAGAGTGATTCTGAAGATATTTGAGATAACACAACGAAAACAAATTCACGTGAAGAATGTTACTGAAGATGTTTGAGTCTACACAACGAAGATGGAAAACGTTATACTTCATTTTTTTCAAATGCTCAAAAATAAAACTCCATCAGCTCAGTCCGCTAAGCCTTGGAAGCTTCAAGAGGCATTGTTACTCGTAAAAATACCGAAGATTTCATAAGTATTAGGCACTGTATTACGAGGGTTTGTCTGACACTCAACACCTAATGAAGATGCTCAAAAGATAGTTGGAGTGTTTACCTGTGAATCGGGGTGTATTTAATTAATACGTGAGGAAAACAGTGTAGAAAGTCATTTTCTTAAATTACTAATCGGCCTTATGACTGCCATCGGATAATTACCCAGTTTGAAGGAGGAAATAAACTTTCTTATCCATTCTCCATCATACAGAATACACCATTTTGATTGAAGAATATATATTTGTATTATCTCGGTGTAAAACTGTTGCGAAAACTATGAGCTGTCACTGAGATGAAATGATCTTAAACTTTGAAATGAAATTGTAAACAGACAGAATGTTTGCAGGCGGAAGGCTCTATTGTCAAGTGATTATAAAAGTAGAATAGTAGTCAAAAGTACATCACTTGGTCAACAAGATTAACAGGATTACTTTTCATCTCACTACAATGGTCAATACCATATGAACAAATGTAGAGATTAGTGAAGTTCGTTTCTCCAAAGTCTGGGACTTTTGTGCCATTATACACGAGTAACTCGTCTTGATGTTAAATTTACAGCCTTAAAACTTCAAAACAAATATGTTTGGTTAAGGCTACATCATCATATTCGAACGGCCGAAATTTACAGCGACAATAATAATTTTCATTAATAAAGCATATAAATTTGACTTTTCCTCACCTCATTAATTTCACTTATTTGCTGAAGCCAGAATTTATTACCCATAAGAGAAGGAGATATTTTACCCAATGAAATCTTTTCCTGTTTCGGTTTAATGCAGGTTTCTTTAGTTTTCATTCGACAGTTAACTTTAGTGGGACTACTAACAATATCACCAATAGGATTTATCCAATATTCACCTATATAGATAGAAATAAACGAGCAATATTTGATGGGTGAATATATAAACGGTAATAATTTAGGTTAATTAACTGCATTCAAATATGGCTTAGTAAAATGGTAGTGATTCCCTACACGAATCACTGCTAAGTCGAGTGGAAATAATGATAATGATAATGACAATAATAATAATAGTGATCATAAGCCTTTATTGATAGGAAGGGATTACTGTGCTTTTGTAATGGCAAAGAAAGATGCCGTAATTTGTTTTGGATAGTTGCCTTTGTTAAGGTATATGAGAATGGTTTCACTTTGAACCTGAAGGTCTTTGGTTGGGATACTACCGGGACCCAAATTTTTCAAAACTCTGAGCACTGTTATTATAAGAGTAAAACTTGGGCACTGTGGTCGATTGAAATTCGACTTTATTCTGTTTATTAGAAATATCGCACAGTAAAACAATAGCATATACTGAGCACTGTTCCTGCATTAGCGTCATTTTACGTACATTAATTAGGTTACTCTGTTTCCGGTGTATGATTAGAGTGACTTGAAGGGTGTACTTGGTATATGAACTGTTTAATTAGACGCATTATGCAGAAAAGTTGACACGATCACTACAATTCGTATATCAAATTTTGTGTTCTACTATACACTACGCTTCTATCTGTTTTCTATGTAGTAAATTTCAACTTTTATGGCTAATGTTATGGATTTATGCTGAGTTCGCTTATGCATCTCATCTTTGAATATAGATAAAAAGAGACAAACCAAATGCAGGTTCGTATCGTTTGGTAGCTAGCTGTACCATCCGGTTTTTTCATACTAATATTTACGAAAAAAGGCTTCAGTACCGATTCGATAGTTACCTGTCTTCCTTTTTTGTGGTGACTACGTAAGTATTCAGTGATGAATACTATTCAGTCGGTCTATGAACACAAAAATCATAATCTATAATAAAATTATTTTTGTTTTAACCCAAGCTTCCTGATATATCGTTTCTTTTGCACGTTTGGAATATCTTCAATATATACAGATGGAATCTGTTAGTTTCATATTATTCACTATAACTTTTACAAGATGACAATATCACTAGATTAAGATATACAAGAACCAAAGGATAATTTACTTATCAGTTTGACTATCTGAGATGGCCTCAGATTAGCAGACTTGATTAGTACTGCGTGCTGATTGAAGGTGAAATAAAAATCTGGGTCGTAGCAGAGTAATTCAAGTATAAAAAAATTAATCCGTTTACATAGTTAATTATTATTCACTATTGTCGTATGTTAAATGCAGGAAAATATTATCACGCATGAAGAAACACTAAAGCATTTACTTGAGAAATCAGTATTTTTAAGGCGTGCTTTGCTAATTGACATTAGTAGAATAACATTTAGAGAAGGAAAGAATAGTAAACAACTGCTTCCCTTCCTTTCAAGACTAGTATACAATTTGTAGATTCATCTATTTTCAGGATTAATCTTGGAACTTCATTGAGTAACCATATCATGAACTAGTTAGCGATTGAAAAATGGGGACTATTAGATTCGAACCCATTTGTTTGAAGGGAGTGGAGCAGGTAAGAGACCAGATTCGTGATAATTATTTTTAAATCTGCGAAGAACCATCAATCTGGTGCTCTTGAGCTCACTGTTGTTTTTTGACCGAAATCTGTTCGAAACATCCATCGCAAAACTTCATGTTAATTTGTTAGTTAAATATTTCATGCAGTAAAGCAGTATTAGTTATTGAATGACTATTCGAAGAGGATTGATTGTTCATATTCAAATCTAAGGTCACCTCAGCAACAGGTGAGATAGCCAACTGAATTTCTCAAATTCCATTAAAAAAGTCTGATTGGTTCCTAAAATGTTCATACAGATTAATCTGATGCGGAATTTCAGTTCAGTCTCAGTGAAGCAACTGAATTTATACTGATTTTAGTTACTTAGTACAGTGACTGCTTATTGATTAAGTTGAATGCTAGTTGCCATGGCAGCAGTTGTCACTGCAATATTTACTGTTAAAAACATAATGTTCGTATGAAAATTTTGCTCAGAAATTCAACTTGATCATTACTTAAATGTTATTAACCAACGGTTTAGGCTTACCATCAGGCTTATTTGGATATACACTGGCCAGATGTGCACAAGTTCTGGCGGGAAATTCTACTGTTCCTTGAGGTTGGTTTGTACCGATATTTCCGAATCTTCTCTTGATTGCAGGGTCATCGCTGTACATTATTCCTTTTGTTCGTGAAGCTCTGGCTTGCATTGATACAATTTGGCCAGGTGGACCAGGTAGACCAGGTGGGCCAGATGATCCTTGTGGACCAGGAGGTCCCAGCTCGCCATCTCTTCCAGGAGGGCCAAGTGGTCCAACTTCACCAGGATCACCCCTGTCACCTCGTGGACCTCTGGCACCCATTGGTCCTCTTTCTCCTATTGGACCTGGAGGGCCTCTTGGTCCTTGGTCACCTGGATATCCCATAGGACCATCCAAACCGGGAGGCCCAGGAGGCCCAATTGGCCCTTTTCCTCCTGGAGCTCCTTTGGGTCCTGGTTCACCTTGTTTACCTGGTCGACCATCTTTTCCAGGAATACCTGGTTGTCCAGAATCACCTCTAGGTCCCAGCTCTCCAGCAGACCCTGGTACACCCGAAAGTCCTTGCTCTCCCTTGCTTCCAGCAACTCCAACACCACCAACCGTCCCTCGTGGTCCACGCATACCAGCACGTCCAATGGAGCCAACAGGTCCAGGTTCACCAGGTTTGCCAACGTCTCCTGGAGAACCTCTAGCGCCTGGAAAACCAGGAGAACCTCTGCGGCCTGGCGGTCCGGCACGTCCTGGAGGACCTGTATCGCCGGCATCACCAGTTTCACCCGCTTCTCCATGTCTGCCGGGTGGCCCTTGTTCTCCAGGTGGACCTTCGCTGCCTTCACTACCGGCAGGACCTTCAGGACCCGGTTCACCCGGGGGTCCCATGAATCCTGGGTATCCATGTGGACCGGCTTCTCCCGGCTTTCCAGGTTCTCCTGCATCTCCTGGCTTTCCTCTTACACCAGGAGGTCCACGTTGCCCAGTTGGTCCCTTTCTACCTACATTTCCATTTAGCCCTGGTGGACCAGTCAGTCCAGGTTCTCCAACGTCTCCTGTCGCTCCTATTGGTCCAGGAGCACCTCTTTGACCTGTTTCTCCTCTAGGGCCTGTCAGTCCCATTGCACCTTTATTTCCAGGGGGGCCCTGTGGGCCTTGTTCTCCAGCAGGACCAGGTTCTCCAAAAGGTCCTGGAGGCCCTGGTGGGCCGTCATCTCCTGGGCTGCCGTCTGGACCATCTTCTCCATCTACTCCTGGTTGACCATCTGGTCCTGGTGGTCCAGGTGGACCTGAAAGACCGCGGTCTCCTGGATCACCTGCATCGCCCGGAAGTCCTCTCTCTCCTGTTGCACCTTTGACACCTGGTTCTCCACTTGGACCATAAGGACCTGGATTTCCACGTTCTCCTGGTAAGCCAGCACCACCTGCAGTAGCGGCCTGAACTTTGACAACACCTGGCAGACCAGGTGGGCCACGCAATCCAGGCTGTCCACGTAATCCCTAAAATAGAAGAAATTATGATCAATTTCAGTGAATTTTTGAAAGAATCAGTGATATTCACACTAAGTCACTGCAATGTACAGAGAGATCTATTCAAATGTTAAGCAGTAGGAACACAAAATTCTTTCTTCAAATTATCTGCAGTTAACTCATTAATAAATGCATTAAAATGACAATGATAAGCTCTGGATCTCCCAATCCACTTGACAGTATTCCCATCTATAACATTATCTTTAGGCGACAAATAAGTAGATTATGGCATCTTTCATCTGGTTTGTCAGATGGGTTTTTGTCAGAATTTAGTATCAATGATAGCAAGTGCATATCATCAATAACCTCTCTGTTTGGCTTTGAAAGTTATAATCAAACACACTTTTGACCATCACATAAAGACATCATTTTTGCATTGGGTTGTTGTCGTTGCTATTTCCGGATGTTATCTCATTTCTGTATATTGAGTAGTCTAACGGAAAGACATGCATTTCATCTAATCCAGAAATCAGTAAAAGACTCATCAATACTGACGAGAATCTTGTATCATGAGGAATTCCAAGCTAACTGGTTGAGCATTAAGTCTACAGAAGATAAATCAGTCAGTTAATGTTAATTCCCGTCTAATATTAAGAGGCTTTTGGCTTTGCTGTCTTTTTAAGAGCTCATAGACAAGTAAAATATGCACACTAAATGGAAGTACAAAGATGTTTGACTTCTTCAGTTTGAGAAGGGTAACATTTTTACGCTATCTTTAATCTAATCTCTTCTAACCACTAGTGTAACATTGGCCGAACCAATCAAAAATATGAATCTGTGATGAACATGACCGGTTGAACTGTTACTCATTTTATAAGAAATTCATTCTTTTTAAGATTTAATGCTTAGTGTTATCACATAACTCAATTAAAGAGCTTTCTGTTGACCTTTTACTCATTTCAAGGCGATTCATAGCTCTGCAATGAGTGCATGTTAAGCAAAGTCAGTTACTATTCTTTATTGTGCTTAAAATGCATGAAATCACTTGTTTCGTTTTAATGAACTATTAAACCTTGTGAAAACATCATTTTGCCGCATATATATGCTTCAGATATCAGAGATAAGAGTAAAACTAGCATTTATACTTTGTTTTTCGTTGTGCGGAAGTCGGCGAGGAATGTGTTTGATTAATTGCTTGGATAAATTGTGGTAAGAGAGGTAAAAACTAGACACGGAATTAATTACCTGTCAAGTCAGGGTTAGGGGTGAATTAGGTCATATGTTGCAGAAAGTTACCTCTAGACGGCTGTGAAATACACTTAGTATAATGAAAGAATCATTAGTTTGGTGGGGCGAAGTTGGCTAATCTTTAATGTTGAACGAAAATTAATTCAATGGCTTTCATGATTTCACAACATGCTTCAAGATGTACCAATTCCTTCGATTACTACGAAAAAGAAATTAAACCAATGCATCTTCGTTAAATCGACAGTTAGTTATAATTCTCCGGGATTAATTGAACCCTGAAACGAACACATACTCATGGCCTCTTGCTAGTAGCCTCTTCATGAGCTGTTTATTTAAAGCTTATAACAACAGTTAAGTGACTGTCTTTGATGAACTATTTGAGATCAAAGAATAATAAGAAATCCCGTTCACGTGTATAAGTGGCAGCTGTAGCATTTTTTAGTAACAACCGGTTCCATAACGTTTTCACCTGCTAGTCCTCTACGTTGATGGTTTCGTTTTCATTAAGTGTGCTCGGTATTATGCATGATTACACTTTTTAGAGGAAGTTTCTGGGATATCGTGGAATACTACTTGATGCTTTTGGTTTACAAGGTGACTGCGTGTCCTCAGGCTGGTTATCAGTGGCTATGTCGAAAGAATGCGTTCTTTAAGGTTATTCGAGTATACCTCGACAATATTACTGGTCTAATCTATAAAGTATTCAAACTAGATGGATTCCACTGAGATTCTGAGGTCTTATGATGAGTTTTACAATAGGCATTTTGTTCACTACAACCTCAACAACTAGACAGAAAATTACTCGTACTGTATTACTTCTACCATATTGGACAAATTTTACTGTATGGTTCAGTAAAATGGAGGAATTCTAAACATTTCACTGACGATATTTAAGTTATCAAAACACATAACTGCAGTGTTCTTCATGCGGTTTACATATTCTAAGAGACAAAATTTTCAAATCAGACAATAAATTTGATCATCTTCCACTTTTAAGAATATTACGTAAATAATGGATTTAAAAATACAGTCAGTATTGCTCTGGGTATGATGTCTGAACTGGGAATGAAACCTTTATCGCAGTCGTCTTCATATCGGTAATTTTTAATTGAAAGATCCTATGACCTAACAACTGAATTCGAAAATAAGTGACTACTAATCAGATTTCATTTTGAAAGGTTGATATCCCATCATGATTTTAACAGACTATAACATTATTAAAATTTTTCAGCTGAAGATGTAGTAGACAGTCAAAATATTAGTGCATCTGTTAAATCCTTAGTCTAGATAGTACTTCTTCTAAATCCTTATGAAGCTAACATTGGTGTCTAAAAGCCCTTGTAGGGTTTTGTGTAGTTGAAACAACACAAAATACATATCCTGCCTGATTATTTCAATGAAACTTATTAGTAGGAATTCAGATACTAACCTTTTACTATGATCCATCAGTGAAAGTACCCATATTCAAAAGATGCCTAACGCCAACATCAATCAATTTAAACCACAAGGTCATTGAGTGACTTTAAAGAGTGACTCTGAGGTCACACCAACGACTATCGAAATAACTAAATTAGTTTATTTATTTCATCTGGCAAGGACAAAACTATCATAAATAGGGAAGTCCAATTGATTATCTCAATAGTTTTCAGTGTTGCTTTTAGAGTCACTCAAGTTACTGGAGTATTTACCATTTGGGCTTGTTATCATTTACTCTTTGATTTATTGAATTTAATTAATGGGTTTCTGCATCGATTTTTCAAAAGTATAAACTGCATGAAGTAATTGTTGTATTCTCTGGCACTTACTAGACGACCATCAGTACCAGGAAGACCAGGAAGCCCAGGGTCACCAGGTGCACCATCTACTCCAGTCCCACCATTTGGACCAGGTATACCAACTAAACCGATAACACCCTTTATAAAAAAAGAATAAAGCAAAGTAAAGAGATAGCAGGCTCAAAGAATAGGGGTAATATTATTTGTATAAATGACTGTTTTGTTCCTATAAATGAAATTAACCATTTCCCGACATCACACTATATTGAACAGTAGGTAGACACGAACTTTCACCTAAGAGTTGCGTATATTTCATTTGGCGCCAGGATCTACTTGGGCTACTTAGAACGCCATTTTTGGAAATACTTCGACAGACAATTGGGTTCCTTTATACTGACTGGAAAAGTAGTTTCGTCGTAAAATGGTAATCTTAGCAATTGTTGGAATAACTTTCAAAGTCACTTGATTTCCACCTAAAATAACTACTTAATACACATGAAATGAGTAAAAATAACTTAACCATAACCATCTGAACTAGTTAATTATGGTTAAAAGCATTTAAAGAGTAGACATAGTTATGATTAAAGTAGAAATATGTAACTTTCATTCTATGGTCAGGATACAGAAAAAAACAAGTTTATTAATGTATATTGAAAAAACATATTACTTCCATAAAAAAAATGCATTTTTACGTTCAACTACTTTCAGTAAAGTGATATGAATCGTCTCGCTCCTAACCATTAGCCTGAAAACTTACCATATTTATATAACAGTAATTCAGTGCCTTCTCTAAAATGTTTGCTAGTTGAACCTAATTAACATCAGTAACATGCTTCTAGGATCTCATTATGATTCACTTAAAGCTGTATTCACCTGTCATCATCGGGTTTCTTGCCAAACCTCATTCGAGTAATGAACACATTTTAAGGTGGTGTACTGATGTCAAACGGAGAAAATAGCCAGTCATGTAAACTGAAAGTTAACAAAATTCACTAAATGGAAAATGTCGATCTTATAATGTATACTACTACTTGTGATACTACTTAAAATGTCAATTACACTACATATGCAAACTAAGTAGAAGTAACTCAGCAGTTAGATTTAGAGCAACAACATGAGTTGCATACTCCTCGAATGCGTAATGTCCTTAAAATAGAAAATCCTGACGGAAATTTATTTTTAGGCTTACTTTTTCCCTGACTTCATTATGTACACGCTGAGCCTACATTGAAGGATTCCCTTTGATTAGGTTTTCTGTTCAAGGTGTTGTCATCAGTTATACTGTTGATAATGGAATCTTGCATGACACTATTCATTTTCTGTACACAGAAAGTATTTTCTACAGCTAAGATTTTGTAATTAGCATCCTTATTATCATGTAATGAGCTGAGATTTTTTTCATTTGTTTTAGTATAAACCGAGCTTCTAAAACTTTTGTAAGATAAAGTATGGAATGGTACTAGTCTGCTACTCAAATCACCTTTCACCAAAATCTTATCAACGAGACTAGTAGGAATAGTGTATTTTCTGTCATTTATGCATTCAAATGATATACAGTCAAATTACTGAGATCTGTATTCACAGTAGCAGAGATTAAACAAAGCTTTATGAAAGAGAGCGCGGTTACTAATCAGTTCCCACTTTAGAAATGATTTCAAAAATTTACACTTCATCTACCTGCTTACAAAATAATAATAACAGTTGTAGACAAAATTTTCGAAATATTAAAATTTAAATCGTTATCCGTAACATTTATACTTAGTTCGTTGGTAAAAGAGGGATCAAAACGTTTATGAGGAGATAAGGCGGCATTTAAAAGGCTGAAGGAAACTTTGAAGCTGTATAAGAAGACAACTTTTTACCTAAGATATCATCGAACAATAGAGTATAAATATATGTTATGGTTGGAATGGAAACATATTTAGTGTTTATCAGGCAGATTTAAAAAATCCTGAATAAGAAACCTTCATTTTCTTCGATGAAGAACTTATCAAGGTTTGATAGGTATTTTTTGCTCTGTTGTGAACACTAATAATTGTATTGTATTTAGCTGGGTAACTGATAGCCTTTGTCTTAAATTATTTCTGAGAAGTTCATGCTTGTCATCTTAAGACCTCCAATTTTGTATGAAAACTGTTGAATTCATAAATTGTCAGTTGTCAATTTATGATTATAAATGTAGTTTAGATGACAGAGAGAAATAATTTGCTATAGATGAGTGTGAACATGATCAGTGGTTTCCTGATACTGCTTTTTACTATAGCACCCTATGAAGATGACAGAATTTCTTGTCTGTACATCAATTTACTGGTCAAATTCTAAATTTTAAGCATATAAGATTAGTTTTAAAAGTTGATGGAAGGCAACTAATTTAAAATTGGCTCGTTCCCACCAATGAACAAAGGTTTCTAGGACATTCAAATTTAAAACATAAGTTGACAACATTAGCTCAGCGTCTGAAAATGTTTGGTTATATTGTTTAGACTGTAAATATCGTTTTAGGATATTGATGTAATTCAGCCTATTACACTATAATTATCTTTTGGCCTTGTGACGACCCAGTGACAAAAGTTACCTACGTAATTGATAATGAATTCGATGAAAGATAAGTTGTATAATTGACGAAGAACAGCATCAGTATTTATAGATGTTACTCTATGCGTACCACAATAAAAATCATTGTTTCTTTTTATCCTAAGTTCATAATATACAATGAACTTGCAACAGGTAAAATAAAGTCATTCATGGAAGAAATGCTACGAGTAAACGTCATAAAACAGATCGCTCAAAACTAAAGTGAAGATTGTATATTCTTGTGACGAACGTAACTAAGGTCATTATTAATATTCTCAAACGGTGGAAGATGACGGAGACGTTGACAGCTTTGGAAAACGGTAGTAGTACTAACACAAGTAGTGTTTACTTTTGCATACGAATTCATTGTCAAGCTGACGCAGTATTTATGAAAGCTGTAAATCAATAAATAACTTACATAGACTCCTGGAGGTCCCATTACTCCTTCTTGACCCTTTCGTCCTCTCTTTCCTTGTGGTCCAGGTGGCCCACGATCACCTCTTCGACCTGGTTTCCCAACAGTACCTTGCTCACCAGGTAGACCTTGGGGTCCAGGCTTCCCATCTTTGCCAGCCAGTCCATCTTTTCCATCCACTCCTGGTGGACCATCATATCCTGCTGGTCCAGGTGGTCCAGAAGCGCCAACTGGACCTTCGGGACCTTGGTCTCCAACAGGACCTGGAAGTCCTGGAGGTCCTACAGCCCCTGAAGGACCCTCCGGGCCAGTTTCACCATCAAGACCAGGATCGCCAATATCTCCACTGTCTCCATGACCCCTGGTAACCCAATCGCACCTTTCAATCCCTGCTCCCCAACTGGTCCTATTGCACCCTGTTTATACGTAAAAGACATCAATTAGAACTAGAGATAAGAATGATCATAGTTTTTATATCTTAAAAATTTAGAATTATTAGGTTTCCTTCATTCTGGAATATTTTTCTCAGCTCACAGCTGAGAAGGACTTACGATCTAATGAATAATAAAACAGGCTGGATTCAGGAAGTACAAATCATGTGCGGACCAAATTGCAACACTAGGTATCATCATAGAACAGAGCATCAAATGGAAGTCAACTCTCTACCTCAAATTCATCGAGTTTGAAAAAGCCTTTGACAGCGTCAACTGAAAAGTAATTTGGTAGGCAGCTGCTTCAATGCTACAGAATACTACAAACCTTTATCAATCTCATTCAACAGCTATATGCTATGCTATATCATGCTACATTCCAAGTGATTCACAATGGAAAGCTACTCACTGATGCCTTTGAAGTGAAGACAAGAGTAAGACAAGGCTGCCGCCTACTATCACCCATGATCTCCCTGATTGTGGTCGACTGAACTGGACTGGATCGAGCAACAAACCGTGGGGGGGAGGGGGGGAGAAGATGGACATACGCTGTTTGACCGATGAGGAGACCCTAGAAGATTTGCACTTCACGGATGATGATTTATGTCTGATATCGTACAAACTTGAAAATCTACAGACGAAAACTAACAAGTTGACAGAAGAGGTAGGGTAGGGTAGGGCAGGGCAGGGCACGTCAGGGCAGGGCAGGGAAGACGGGACTTCAAGTGAATGCAGAGAAGACGGAGGTGATGAAGATACCCAACCAACAACAGCATCAACAACAAGCATCAATCACCATGAACGGGAGAAACCTAAAGGAGGTTGTCTCTTTGATCTACCTAGGCAGGCAGCATCGTTTCAACTACACGCGGCACAGATGAGGATGTCAAAGCCAGGGTGGAAAAGACAGCAAGACAGGCCTCCCTGCATTAATCCGAAACCAGTGTGGAGATCTAATGCACTCAGAATATGTGGAACAAGATCCAGATTTTCAACACTAATGTCAGTCAAATCAGTGCTTGTATGTGATGGTTGAGAGATTTGGCGCGTTACGAAAAGCCCTCTCAACAAACTACACACATTCATCAACAGCTACGACATACGCTCACTCGATAGTGAAGATCAGATCAGATGACCAGAATAATAAGAATAAGCAACAAGGGTCTCTGTGAACGAACCGACCAACAATCCATCATCCAACAAACATGCAGAAGGAAGTGGAGATGGATTGGACTAAGCATACACTGAAGAGACCAGTTGGTGACATCACGCGCCATGTCAGGCCGTCGAGTGGAATCCGAAGGGGAAACGACGAGTCGGGCGACTGAGACTAGGGTGACATGAAGGAGATGATGTGAGGAAGAAATGCAAGTTTGTGAGGAGTCTTGGAGCCATGTATAAAAGACTGCAGAGAAGAGAGTGAAATGGAGACGTGCTACTGAAGCCCTATGTTCCAGTAGGAACCCCGAGGACATATTGTAAATAATAGTATTCTGATGAAATTGATACGAAGTTGTGCTGTTTGTCTGATCGGTCAGCTCAAGCACTAAGTAACTTCCTTACTTCCTTCTTACTCATTTAACCATAGCCAAATACGGAGGATGAGCACAAATACTTCATTGATTAGTGGTTCAAATTTGATTCTTAAGCTTCAGGTTAGTAGCGTACATGGGTATTTGAGAATGCTTCTGCTTTTTAGCAACCCGCTGTCTAATGAGCTTATCAGCAAAGTAAATATTCAACCTTGTGGGAATTAACTCTCCATAAGCGATCGGAACCTGCACAACTCAGTGAAGAGGCAAAATATTTTATCGTTATGTTATTTAGATTACAATTAATTCCTTTTCGACAGGCTTTGAACAGTACTCAGAGTTTGGAAACCATACTGGTTTCTAACGATTGACCAATTCACATAAATCTTATTCCTTTTGATTTACTCAGACTAATCACTTTCGTTTCAATATTTTACAAATGACTCAATAAATTCCACTTTGCACTAGGTTGCTTTGTGTTTTCTGAGCTGGATTCTTTAATCATGGAGCTTTCATCGTCTTTCTAGACAACATCATTAGCATTAACTTCACTATGAAGTGAGCTTTCAATATCTCTCCATGAATGATTTACTAGCTTGCGGTGGAAAACTGGTTTATGGCTGGTTGTTTCTCTTGGCTGTTGTGTCATTGACTGTATCTATTTTCTTGTTGGCTGTTCCTCTACTTGACTTGTAACCTTTTGTTGTTTATCATTCTTCTTATTGATTGGTAGATTGGGTTTATGTCTACTCACCTATTGGTTGCTGACCGACCTGAATGCCGTACTTCTAGGAATTCTCGGATATTCTTTGTGTTTCCTCTGTCCAAGATTTTCACGTTGTCAAAATTGAATTCGTGTCCATAGCTATCCACGTGAACTGAAATGATAGATGAAATGTCATGACGTTTAACAGCCAATTGGTGTCTATGTAAACGAAGGAGAAGAGGAAGATCACTTTTCCCAATATAGTGTTGATCATAATTACTGTATTTGATTTTGTAAGTGACATTTAGTTCGTCTACTTTGGCTGTTGCGTCTTTTGGTTTGAAGGGAATTTGTTAGTCTATGATCCACACCAGTTACAAGTGGTCTCAGTAGTCTTGTCAGGATCTCTGATATATTCTTCGTATTTGGTAGGATGATCCATTTGTTGATTTCTATCGATGACTTTGTAGCAAGTGATGCATGGAATAGGCATCCTCTGATAAAGTTTCGTGGGTAGCCGTTCTTCTTCAAGATATTCTTTTCCCCATGGAGAAACAACCAACCGCAAAACGGTTTGTCAGTGGAAGCTACTAAGTCAGTCATGGAGTGATAGTGACAGCTCACTTCATATTGAATTTACTGCTGATGATGTCATCTGAAAAGACGCTGAAAGCTCCACGATTGAAGAACTCAGCTCAGAGAACACAACACGATTATGATCATCCACGTGAGTTACAAGTATTTTCCACCACTTTGAACTAAGAATGATGCATTGTGGGTGCATGTTTTTTAGAATTCTCCTAAAATGAACTATGTAAGTTTTGAGATAACACATTTGATAGAATAGTGGAAAATAAAGAATCTTTAGAACTTACAGTAAACATTCTAAAATATATCCTAAAGATGTTTTAGGACTAAACCACTCATTGTTGTAAGACATACATTATCAATGGACCTACTCAGTCAAAAAAAAAATTCATATTACTTCTGTGAGGTGACATAATTTAAGTTCAGGACATTTATCACATATGAATAATTATGTTCTGGAGGTAGAATTGCTGTTTTTACCTTCCATCTATCAGTAATAAAATCTAATCATTTTTATTTCTGAAAAAGAATTAGATTCCTGTAGAGAAAAGTTTTCTGATGACGATAAAACAGAGATATTTGCTTTTATTCGTGTACCGTTTCTTACTTCGTCAGGCTTATTTATTTACGCTGTGGTCGATATTTGGATAAATTATCATTGTACAGAAGCACTTCAGTTAAGTCTTTTATAATGGCTCACTTAGTTATTTGCACTTTCGTTGTTCAACTTAGGATATACGTGAAACACTGCATCATGTTATATGATTTTATTATAAGGTAATTTTTAGTTAAGTCCTGTTTCACATCACATTTCCTGTTGTCCTCATCTACCACGCAAATGTCTCGGATATGTGTGATGCGGTGGGTTTATCCATGTAAGATGATTTCAAAGGCCGTCTTGCCAAGGACACCTACATCAGTAATTATCTCTTCAACCTTTGTGGCTATTTCCACAATAAGTGATTTTATCAGACATATTTAAAAAAAGACAGCCAATAGGTTAACACTAATTATTAGGTAGGTTGATTCTTCATAAGCACCAAAAATACATTTATGCAGTAGTTTGGAATGGCCTTTGAAGCGCCTCATTGCACTATATTTATGAATTAAGTTGATTTAATAGACTTTTCAAGTTCTCAAACGTATTCGGATGCTTCGTATAATAGGGTTACTTCGATTGATTATCAGTGGAATCAAGTAAGCTTGGTAAATAAGAGGGCGATTGACACTATTTCCATCTGAATATATGACTCTGTCGTAGTATAAAGGTATAGACTGGTATGAGAGATGCTATTAATATTCTACTGTGAAAGTAGTAAGACTTATGATTAAGCTATGAACAAACTTTCTGGTGAAATGCTAAAAAATGAATTTAGTTTGTTCGAAAATAGTTGATCGATATCTATATTATAGTTATAGCGAAACTTAAAATTGTAGTGGCTTACCGTTGGTCCTCTTGGTCCAACCTGTCCCATAGATCCCATTGGTCCAGCATGTCCTGGTGTCCCACTTGCTCCTGGCAGACCAACTGGTCCGATTGGTCCTGATCCTCCTTTAATTCCAGGTACTCCATTCATCCCGTGTGCACCATTTTCACCACGAGTACCAGGAGCTCCATCTAAACCAGGACGTCCAGGTGGACCAGGAGGCCCTGGAAGACCTTGTTCACCTGGTGCACCAGGCTCTCCAGGACTTCCATCAGTTCCAGGTTGTCCGTCTAACCCTGGACTTCCAGGACTTCCAGCCATACCAAGTTCCCCTTGTGCACCCTTAAACCATTACAAGATACGTAAGTTAATGCTCAAACATTTTTGGGAAATAACCAATAAATACACTAAGAATTATTGCATAGAATTAAAAAAACTTTCCTAGTTTACCTAGCTCAAAAGATACTTACTTGCTTTTTGATAGTGAAAACAACTAATAATGGTACAATGATAATTAATTGCGGTTCATATTAAGGCTATTATAGACATCGTGTTATTTAGAACTTCTGTTTCTCTGGGTTTAACATTTAATGACAGATTCGACATTACAGATCAGTGAATTTAGTATGCGCTGAGTATTTGACGGGTCATTCTTATTGACCTGATACAATGAATAGGTGGTGCATTTTCACCAACTAGTTTATTGATGTAATTAAATTGTATTTAACCTCTAATAATAATATCTGTTACTGATTGACTGTTTCTCCTTTGTATTTGAGTTCAAATAAAAGATACAAAATCAGCCTACTGATTAGCATAAAAGTAGTATAAGAGTATGACAAATGTCAATTATCACCAAAGCAGCTCTCTCGAATGTGAACTGGACTGAATTCCCACATTTTTTATTGAAAGTGACTAATAGTAATGGCAGCTGGAATGTAAGTGAGAAATTAGAGCTAGGATAACTGACATATACTTCCTCTCAGAAACAACAGAGTTTTCTACATTGATTCGTCGCGGGAGAGCAACCAATTTCATTTTATCTAGTGCTGAGTGCTGACGGAATTCTGTCGATCACTTTTATAGTGTATCCACCAAGCTAAGAGGATCAGAGTTGCGGCGTACATTGATAGATGTTGGTTGATTGGAGGTAATTGGTAGGACGGTTACTGTTCGTGAAATCTGAGTGTGGTGTTAAGTGGTAGGAGCCGATCTATGTAAAAATGGACTAAAACATTGATTAATTACACCAGAAATTCACGTTACTTATCTAAGCCGGCACTTAGCATAAATTAAAAATAAGAGTTGTGGTGAAAACAACCAACCACACGAGAATAAATAGTTGTTTTATTGGCTGAAAAGTAAGTCTCAAAGAAAATGATCCGGGATTATGTGAATTTATCCCTTGTCAAATAGTGATCATATTGCCCGTGTATGAATGACTTGTTAGATATGTATTCAGCACAATGATCAATTAGGCGGCATTGGTGGCTTTTCCATCTCCAATTTAGTTGCTTAGGTTTGAAAATCAGCTTTGTTCACTCAGTTTATTCCATTATCAGGCCTTGCTTAGGTGAAATGATCTAGTTCCACTACTGTTTTGCTATGCTAAAGAATCTATGCAATTTTTTTATAAGCTTAAACATCAAAATAATGGAAACTGTTTGGTCAGCACTATCAAAGTTCATTAAGTTCTTCTCAATCTATAATCGTAGGTATTACAAGTTCTAATTGAATACCTCAGAATTTTGGGATGGGTGTTTTTGATAATTATTTATAATCCACTGACTTTTCATGAGACATGTATGCAAACTGCTTTTAGAAATGAAGATGAAGTTTGGGTAAAACTTTTATGTCGTGAGCTAACAGAAGTTGGAAATATGGAGCACTAGATTCTGACCCAGTGGCTCAATGGTAACGCGCTGGCCGCGGAACCTGAAGGTCGGGGGTTCGATCCCTGCTGGTGGGGTCGTTGGTGCGCACTGCTGAGGAGTCCCATACTAGGATGAAACAGCTGTCCAGTGCTCCCAGGTTTCCTTTATTCCTCCAACTGATGTCAGTCTTCGATGAATAACAACTTGAAAACTTTTATTTGTTAAGTGACAAAGGCGGGAAGACTAAATTTGGTTCTGAAATCTCAAAGTTACTCTTTTTAAGAACCTGGCACTAAGTTTAAAGATAATAAAAACTTATTTGATTGTGAAATGTTTAGACGTATCAACTTAAATCGGTAGTCACGTTTAAATGATAACTCCAGCTACCTTTTAGAGACCTATTTTAACCGCATACAATTGATTCCCTTGACTAGTGAAACAAGAACAAAGGGGTGTGCAGGATATGATGGATTTAATTTATGTTGCTGCTAGTGAAGGTCGAATTTAAAATAAAACAAACATAAGAAGCGTGTGGTGCATTAGTGCTATACATTCCATTAAAAAAATCAATCTTGTCAGTAGAAAACATCGGAATAAGGGTAGAAGAACAAAAACAAAAATTCACATCACGCTCGACTTCAAAATTAAAATCACTACTACCCAGGTAGGTTCCTAGTGACCAGTTTTTAGTCATATGGTAAGTATTAAAACAGCTTTTACAGTATTACACAAAAGTTGTCAGCGGCGAATAGTTAAATTTATCAAATCGCTAACTAGTCGTGCAACTTAAAGCCACTTTGTGCATACAGAAACAATTTGTATCACACTGTTGTAACGCTTTTAATGTTAATACCAAGAGTGACGTGATTTTTTGTTCTTGTTCTAGCCTATTTACTCCCATGTTTACTATTGACCAGACTGACTTCGTAAATTTTCATATTGATAATTTGACAGATTCATGTATGATTAAATCCTCTGAAATGCATAGCGCTAATTCACCAAGTTTTTAGATAGGCTTTGCCTGCTGAAATAACCAGTTAGGTTTAGTTATTTATGAAAAAACAATCTTTTCAGCTGAAATAAAAAAACCTAATTAATTATTTCAGTAAGGTGGCCTTTAGAGTCACTCCTCATCAAGCTGTGTAAATTTACCGAGGGAACCATTTGCTTTAAGATAAACATAAGCACATCTGAAAATTGACCAATGTGGTCCTCATGAAAATATAGTAGGATTGTTCGGAAAGCAGTGTTCTCAAACGAAGTAGTTGGATAGAATAAAACAATTCAGTTTGGTGATTCGTAGGGTTTTATTGATTTCAAGGTGGTATTTGTCACAGACTGACATCAGTTGAAGGAACATTGAAAACTTGGGAGCACTGAACAGCTGGTTCGTCCTAATATGGTACTCCTCAGCAGAGTGTATCCATGACACCAGTAAGAGTCGAACCCAAGACTTTCAGTTTCGCTATTGAGCACGCTACCATTGTGTCACCGGGTATAAATGCAAGCGTGAATCCCACTGGATTCTGACCCAGTGGCTCAACGGAAACATACTTACCACGAAGCCTGAAGGTCCCAGGTTCGACCCCCAATGGGGTCGTGGGTGCACACTTCTGGAGAGTCCCATCCTAGGGCGAAACAATTGTCCATTGCTCCCAAGTTTTCAATGGTTCCCAAGCCAATTTCTGTTTGTGATGAATACCAACTTCAATTTTTTTTAGAACGGTTCCAAAATTACTCGAAATACCATTTGTGTAAAAATAATATTGGCAATAGATTACGTAATATACCAAAGCATTGAACGAAAATATGACGGTATCCAAATGAAGGAAGGCGGAAATTGAGTTCAGCTCAGTGAGTTATAATTACAGTTGGTACAAAAAGCTAGAGGGAATTAGGGTTGCTTACTTTGCTTACAAGATTGTTCAGTATTAAGCACTAGTTTCCTTCTGAATACAAAGATAAGTTCTTAGCCTTCAGATTGCAATAGCCTGTGAGAAGAGAAGCGGCTTAGAGGCAGCTGATTCGAATCTTTCTGTGACTCAGATTTCCACTTCCCCTTCAATCATCACTAAGTTTCATTACTACAAGTCTACCGAGACATGGCTATCTTTGATGGTCAGACTGATATCTTGAATTCATTTCGACGTCCACATCATGTCTCTTACCCAATGGATAACTTGTTGTTAAACTACATGTATTATTTAGTCTTTCTAGTCACCGACTATTTGAGACGTATTTGGCTGAGTAAGTAGCTTTTCATCTTTCTGTCCACCCAGTGCACTTAATTTTGTGTCTATGCAAACTAGTGAATGAAGTTTGAGGTGAAATGCGAATGGTATTCGTTTATCTGGATTTGCACTACTGGGCAATTCGTTATATAAATCTCGCTGCTGGAAATATATTGTTCATCTAAGCTTTTAACTTCATAATGACCAGATCTGCAATTTGACGGCTGTCGTACATCAACCTGTAACAGCTGTAAGTAACTGGACAATAGGCTAAGTGATAATGTTCGAAGGTGAAAGGAAACCTTAATCAGGAAGCAGTTGAAGCGGCGACTTCCACTTCATTAGCTCGCCACACATACATAGTTGGTTAGTGATTAGGAATGGATAGCCGTGCATCTTTAGGTCACTTGATATCCGGTCGAAATAGCATGCTGGTGGCTTGCAATTAAAATCTGATGGAAATGTCGGTCAAGTGCAGCAGTAATAAGAGCCTAAGACTCATGAGCAATCCGAAATGTAATGTTGCTCTAGTTAAACAGTACTAGTGAAAATACCTCGGTTAATTTCGTTTTACGTAAAACAATAAACCCTGTCTACTGTAGGATGAAGATTATTCAACCTAACCATCATTTCATTATCCGTTTTAAAAACTACCAGCCCTTATTGCTCCCTTCAATAGTCTACATCACTTTAAAACAAGTCTGTTACAGCAGAAAAACTGAAGTTGGACAATTAATGTATTCTTTTCTTGTTCTTCAAAATAAACAAGAAAGAGATTTAATCATTCATTTGTGGAAAACCTAATTGAATCACACTTTCGATAAAAAGGCTTTGTGAAACTGGAAATTCTCTAAGTTAGCGCATGAATTAGTATCATATAAGCAGGAGAAACATCCTTCATATGTCGATTATTTGGCACAACTTCGCATACTGCAGCATAAATAAAAGACAGATTAAAATAGAAAACCAGTTTTTACTTGAATAGAAGCATTGATGAATGTCCGTAAGTTAGAATTATCCTATCCAATACCAAGTAATCTTTTAAAATGCCAAATTATTGATTATCAGAAGAATGCACCATTTAACTAACTCCTTTTCCATAGGTTGAAAATTTTTTTCTATATGTAGCCTATTGTTTTCTTAGAATTTTGGACAAGGATAGGACTGTTTTAGCAGTCATAAAACAAAGTGGAATTATATTTGATTGGTGGAAATCTTCTAGGATAAAAAGGATGAATATTTTGGTGACGGAGGTGGCATTATTAAAGGATAGCCTTTCGTGGGTAATATTAGGCTAATGTCGTATAAGTGTCTACCATAACCAGTTTAAGTGGAGAAATGGTATTCTTCAACATGACGCATGAGTGAAGTATAGCAACTCTGATTATTTAGAAGATAATATTGAATTATATAGTTAGTAAATATTTTGAACGTTTAGTAGTTTGAAGACGATTTGTTCTAAATGTTTACAGAAAGGTTAACTATGCAGTGAAATTAAGATGTTGGTCTAGCGTTACTTGAAATGATGGAATTAAGAGCTGCTGTGCGTCTCTATCTCACATAAAGTATACTTCTATATAATTAAGTGTGATATCTCATACCTTGTCACAAAACTACGTGGTTTAATTTTTTAAAAAAACTAATGAAAGTTAAGTCTGATATTTCGTGAGAAAACTTACAACATTATTAAGTTGAAAAATGATTTTTAAGATCTCTAGCATGTCATAGAGAGTCTTCCAAAGATATATCTTTATGACACTAATGTCTTTGATTTAGTCAAAAATTTCAAGGAATTGAACTAAAGAGCCATTTTTGTTTACTCTTTAATCTTCATAAATCATTCATTTGTAACATTGAGTTCTGTATCTGTTATCTCCTATCGAGAAGGTTATTTATAATCACAATTAAAGTCATGCTTTCATCACAGAATCAAACTTATGCCGACTACTGTCACACTCAAAGATGGCATGACTGAAATATATAAGCTATAACTGAATTAAGTATGAAAGTCCCTATTAATATTGACAACTGGGTAAGTGAAAAAGTTTTTGGTTCAGTAATTAGTTTTCCGTAAGGATCCACCTTGAGATAACAAATTTTCAGTTTATCTCTTTGTTCATACCTCTCTATGAGTACGTTAGGGATATGCCTGTGAATTCAAGATGTCAGTAGATTGTTAGATATATCGTTACCAATTCTGAAATACTTGTCGTCAAAAGTAACTGCAATTTTTGCACAATTCTCAGTTAAAACATCATTATTCCCTTCAGTATAAGCAATTTCAATTGATGAGGACGAGACAGGCTTCCTAGGATTCAACCGTTAGCTACTACTTGAATTTATCAATATCACTACTTGACTTGATTTACTTGTAAAGCAGGAAACTGAGTTCTTGCCTTAAATTGACTTCGCGTAACCAAAATATCATAGCTTATGTTATATCATTAGTAATGATGAGTAACTGAATAATACTGCTGGATGTCTAACAACAGGTATGACTCACAGTCTGTTAGATTCATATGTGTGATCACTAAGCCAAATTGTTATTTTTTATGCATGTACACAAATTTTTGTTTGAACCTCAATGAGAACTCAGATACATACACACACTTTCCTTTATCACCCTTATTTAAATAAACGAAAACCTGTGAAAAAAGTGAGTATTTTAAATCAAGTTACTAGTCGCCAAAAAATTATTTTGTGTAAAACCACTATCCACTTTGTGTTCATGGGCCAAACCTGTTGAACATCAGAGGGATTTTAAAATAATGTTCATATAGGGTACTTGACTTTGTGTAACATTGTGATACTTGCAATTAGTCATTTTAAGAGTTGTCAAATGCATTAATTGCATAAAATATGGTTCAAGCAATTTTTTTCATACCTTGATCCCAACTGGTCCTGCTAACCCACGTTCCCCACGTGGTCCAGTTTCACCACGTTCACCTGGACGGCCTAACTGACCTTTCTCACCCTTTGGACCTTGCAAACCTGTTTGTCCTTCTACACCAACCGAGCCTGGTTCTCCTTGTGCACCTTTTGGACCCTGAAGTCCTGAGCGCCCCATTGTGCCCCTCTCCCCTGGTCGTCCAGATACTCCCATAGATCCTTCAGGCCCTCTCTGTCCTGGTTCACCCCGGACTCCTGGACGACCATCATGACCGACTTCACCCTATAATATAGCGAAGGTGAAGAAAGAATAAAGTAACAAGTAATCTATTACATCTATAATCGCCCGTAGAAAATTCGACATCATAATGAATATGTTTGCTAACTGACAGGATAAAATTTATGCGGCAAATTATATACATTACAGATCTTGTCGAACAAAGAAAAACATAACGCTGACAAAAGTTTACCTGAATCCCACGTTCTTTGCTCAGTCCCGGATGTCCTGGTGTTCCACTAGGACCCTTTTCACCTTTTTCTCCTTTTGCGCCTGTCAGACCACGGTCTCCTTTTTGTCCCGCAGGTCCTGATGATCCAGGTCTTCCAGGGCTTCCTATTGGACCCTGTTGTCCCATCGTTCCAACCCTTCCGGCTGGTCCGGATTCACCTCTGGGACCTGATGGTCCAGGTGGGCCCATCGGACCTGGTGGACCAATAGGACCCATTGGGCCCTGAGGTCCTTGGGGTCCCATAGGTCCTTGGGAACCCTAGTTATGTAAAACGGAAAGAAATTGAAGGCAGTAAAATGAGACAAGTTCGTTTTCATCTAAAATAATATTCAAAGTATGTATATTTATGATATCGTGGTCACTAAGTCATCTGAGTCGGAAATATGTTTCTCTTCGTATTAGATCATAGTTACAGTATCTGCAGCCGTGTTAAATATCCAGTCGATTCTTAAGTATTTTCTCACAGATTACAAGTGTACAAAATTTGATTTTGATATTTCAGTGGAATTATTTACATTCACACGATCACACCAGTTAATGACTTAACTGAGAATATGGATGCAGTAATTGGATGTTTCACTTCTATACAAATTAAGGAAAATAAGTTTAGCCAAGTGTAATGTGATTGGCTTATCAGTAAAATGCTAATCATTAGTTTATTGAAAAGCAAACACAATAACTTGTGCAACTGGGATTATTTTTATTCACTGATAGTAATTAAAATTATTTTATGTAGTATCATGTTTTACTCTGTTGTGTAAGATATATAAATTTGCACTCAACTTATCTCAAATGATATAGTTAATTTGCCAGTTCATTTATGAATTCACTTCATGTACTATGAAATGTATGAATAATGAGTTTTTGTTGTAAGTTTACTAGTATACAGATTTCAGTAAATGGCCAGCTAATTATCTTTTCTCGTCATAAATGGTAAAGGGTCTTAACACTTTTCGTTTTCTGTAGGTCATTTTTATGAGTACGACTTTGCTGATTATCATAGTGACTGAATTTATTTCATCGTAATACTTTAAGAAAATTAAATGATTCGATGAAAACACTCAAAATCTCGAGAGGCCATTAGCTTTATGTCCATTTTATGGAAATACAGCTTCTTAAACGATCATTGAAGTAAGTTCATTGAGACTGTTAACTGTTAGCTTAATTATCGGTCTCAGTACATTTCTCACTGAAAACCGATATTATTCATCTAAATAGCAATATAAACTCTAGATAGCTTTAACCAAAACCAAGCTCGTATCTCATCCATATGAAACCAGTCAAGTAGTCGCAGATAAATGCTAATAAATGCCATTGGTGTAAAGAAGAGTTTCAGTGGTGTTATATGCCTTTTTGAAACTGAAATGCATTCATCGATCAACATATTTAGATCAGCTATTCAAAAAGGAATACTACTGATTACTTATGGATCCTTGCTAAGCATATCAGTAATGAGTTACTCCATATATGTGGCAAATTCCGTTTTCCTTCTAGAATGACACATCGTATCAAATATTTAAGGAAGTTTTGCTTTTTTTTGAGCAGTACTACTAAATAATGAAGTAGACTGCTTGAAAACATTTTGTGACGCTACAGGTACCATAAACTCCTTCATGTAATACACCTTTTTGAAAAATTCGATAAACGACTTCTTCACCGATTTGTGTACCATTAATCGTCCAAAAATATTAAAATGGTACACAAGGATGTTTTGAAGCTGTACTGTTTACTATACCTATGCTACCGGTGGTAAATTTATCATCTTCAAGAAAATAACTTTAATGCTAAGTGCGTATACACAAAAAGAAAGAAAAATAGGAACCATAAAACTTACTTTATGTCCATCGAAGCCAGTATCACCCTTATCTCCTGGCTGGCCTTGATACCCTTGTGGTCCAGGGCTTCCTTCACTACCTGGTTCTCCTGGTGGTCCGACTATTCCTTGAGGCCCTGGTGAACCTTGAACTCCTGGAACTCCAGGTCTTCCATCACGACCAGGTGTGCCAGGTGTACCGGCAGGTCCTGCTGGTCCACGTTCACCATCTATACCTGGTGGACCTGGTGGGCCACGAGGACCCGGCGTTCCAACTCCACCTTCTGGCCCAGGTGGCCCAGGATCACCCCTTGGACCCTGAGGGCCGAGTGCTTCGTTTGGAGACGATATCTGTGCTATAATCAAATGCAAAGGAAACTAATTTGAATTATTTAGTTTACTGAAGGCGTTTATTTCTTCGACTTCTCAAAGATTATTAACACAGTGAATTCCATTCGGTTAGTTCAGTTGAAATTTTATCCACATTTCATTGATAGTAAGCATTATTATACTTTATTATGATTAGAACGGTGTCTCATTTTTGTTTTGAACTGCAGTTTTCTAAATTTTATCAGTCATTGTGCTTTGAATGGTGATAAACACTAGGCAAAGTTTTGTTATTATTTAAAACATCATGATCATTAATGATATGTAATCAGAGTCTATTTAAATGATTTAACTGACTTTTTTAACATTTTTTCAGTCTCTGGTTATTATCAGGAATTAACGAATAACATAGCTTTTGCCTTTCGAAAGAGATGAATGTGGGGTTATTTGAATTACTTTATCTCCATACGACAATAAAGCACTTAAATGAACAAATAATTACCTATTAAGATCAGAACAAGTACAGAACTATGAAAACACCATGCATAACTGCAAACAAGATTATATAAAAGCTAGTTGCCAACACGCATGACTTTGATTTAGGCAGTTAGTAGACCTGATTTCGTTGGTTATTTACAATAAAAACGATTTTCAGTTTTCCAAGGACATGAGCTAAGTTTAAGAAAATTTATTATTCAGTTTTAAAATTACTGTTTTACTGAAATGGAAGGAATATTTAAAGGATTTTAAAATTAGGTTCTGTAAAAGTTGTTTAGCCCATATTCCCTAAACTTGAGGCTATTATGCATCTTAGACATTGTTTGACATACGGCTAGATTCATACTGCTTTTATTGACTGTGAAGATAATGGTTCAGATATTACATGGGAAGAGTCTGCTTTCATGGATTCAGATCAATCTTCGTGATCAATAATCATGATTTAATCAGCTGTTTCTCAAGGATTTTTTATTCTTGAATATGTTAAAAGTTAGATATATGGATACTGCAACGCAAGCAAAATATTTTGATCTATTTACCATAAATTCTCAACTCATTCATCTTCTTCAACTTAACTTGGTAACATTTGTTTGTTATTTTTCTGACTCATGAAAAAATAATTGATCTCTTCTTTGTTGAAAGCAAATGTCTATCCAAGAGAAATCAGTGTTTACATAACTGTTTCGGCAGTTGCTTTTACTTACGCCTTTACATCATAGTTTCTTCGACCGATTATCTACAACTGCTGAACATTGAGACAGTCAGGAACCTTGGATGGCTTATTGCATCAGTGTCCCATTAAGGTAGAAATGCACCAAATGAAGTTGAAACTGATTAGTGATTTTGTTTTAGAGGACTGGGACATTTTCAATAGTTAGGTAATGATTATTAGCATTCGTTAGGCTACGCATTTTGTCAATTTACGGTTATGAACCCCTACAGGATAGTTTTAAAGCATTCATAATGTGGTTATCTGGTTTCATCTCCAATGTGTGCATTCGTCGTTCATGTTTTTAAGTTTTTTCTCGATGTTATTTTTTCTGTTAAAGCAATATTTAGGATACTATGTCTAGAGTTAGTTTACTGGAAAATAAGTAGAGAAGAAGGAGAAGGTAATATGAAGTATTATTTATATTGGCATTATAACACCATATTAATAAAATACCTACGTTTATACTTCGTGAGGCCTATTATTTCGGTATTAATTTATCACTTATCAGCCACCTAGCCATGAAGCGTTATTCCTTACTCTTTGTGGAGTTATAACAATTATTTGTCTACATTTAGTAAGTAAAAGTCGTAATCTTGAGAAATATACTGCTGAACAACTTCCGTAGTTAGAAACACCTCACGCAGATCTGTAGATTTTTGATTTTATTTATCTGTCAATAGCTAGTGAGGTCCAGCTAATTGCTTAATGTTTGTTACACTCTTTTCTTATAAAATCTTCGTTGATAACATATTCTGTCTCCGTCGTTTATTTTCTGATGCTTAACTACGGTGGTTAGTGCTAAGATAATGTAATCCATAAGCTAATGGATGAGTCTTGTGACTTGAAAGACGGCACTGACGATGACAACTGAAATGCTGTTAAAAGATTAGGCATTAACAACTTGGGGAGGGATAATAAAACCATTTAGTCATCTACATTTTAAGTAACGAATATAACTTTTATTGTAATCTCTTATAAGAACCTTTGAAATGTTACCAATTCAACTTTATCACCAAACAATCTTTAGTCTGTCTCATGAAAGCGTAATAATAGCGGATATTTCAAATGAACGCCAGCTAAAAATGTATTTTGATGATAAAGATAGTTATTGAGTGAAATAAGTTGTAAATGTGCTCATATAACAAGTGCTTACCAATTCAAAGACTTCAAGTCACTTTTGTAAGTTATAGGTTATAACAAGAAATTTCATAATTCATACACAAGATTTTATAAACGCAAAAAATAATTTGCCTCAAATATAATTGGTACTAATCATTTCAGTTTGACACTCAGTTGATTAAAACATCAACCCTGATAGTAACAAGTTTACAAAACTCATCTGACTTTAATGAGTTTCATCTCCTATATTTGAGGTGTCACAGCAAGTAGAGGTTGAAGGTTTGGATTCAACCAACTTGCACTTTTTCCGTTTTATGTAACCCAAGCTGAATTTTTATTGTTCATCACTTGTTGCTTCAAACAGATCATTTATACCCTGCTGGCCGACCCACCTTTTGACTAGTTTACATTAATTTTCATTTGTTTTGCATAGATTATTTCACATAGCATAATAAAAACTTTGCAGTATTAAGGCTAAATAATTTACAAAGGTATTTATTCATCCTCTCTGGTTATTCGTAAGCATATTGGGCCTTTAATGTCTAGGGTAATTATGTCTTCAGCGATTCTAGTGAGTTCTGTTGGTTACTTAGTAGTAGATAATGAACATGGTATAATCATCAATCATAGTATATCTCATATCGGTTTCAATCATGTAGTTAAACGGTTCAGTTAGGATCTAACTTATCATTTGAGATCCCTTTCATGTGTTTTTGATTGACACACATATTTAGAACAATTTCTTATTCTTTTTATCAAACCTGCAAGTAGTCAGTTTCTCCTATTGAATTACTTTAATAATCCTTTTTATTGCCTTGAAAAGTATCACATTTTATAGTAGTGGATTGAAGGTAAGATGAAGAAATCAACTTCTAATGATCTGTTACGACTGTGTCACAAATGAAGAAGAAACAAATCCTTTACACCTATCTTTCTAGAGTGGTGGTAATCGACATCTTGAGATAGACGATCATAATCTTACAGGTTGGTATCTTGAAATGGTTGTCTGTGCTTTAAACATGGTTAGGCATTAATTACTCTTCTTTCTTATACCTGATAGTTGAGTTTTGTCTGCCAAAAAGTACTACCGCATATACTTCAGTACTAAATAATGGCACACTAAGATTTCGACAAAACAATAAGAAGACGTAAATTGTCTGAACCGTGTAATGTATTTGCGCAACACATTTCGAACTATCTGATCACACACGTACTTGTCATAGGTATTTATATAAAAACTCATGAAGATAAGGGGTGAGAAAATAAAAAGGGGTCAGGTAGGAAGGCTGACTTAAAGGCCGAATAACAACAAAAATCAATAGAGCGAAAAAATAATAGTACATCGAACTTGGTTTTTCAATAGTTGAATTTACCAAGGAAGGTTTAGTGTGACAACAAATTGTTTATGAATACATAAAGGTGGTTTCAACTTCCTAATAGCTAAGGCTTCAACAAATTTCAGGATCCCTCCCCAACATGTTTTGTAGATAGGTGTAAAGGAAGTAGCCGCATCGATCTTGTGACCTGTCCCAACGATATGTTTAGCGATCGAAGAACTTGGACGTTTGCTACCAACATTTATAGGTTCAGGTGATTTAATTTGCTTCTGAAGTCACTTTGGAATATGTTCCGAGGCCCTTACTTGCATGGATCTATTAGTCCTCCCTATATATGTGTCACCACACGTACATCTGAATTGGTAGATACAATGGGATGTGACATTATCGTTCATATGCTGTGGGGGTTTGCCCTACATGAACAGGGCAATATCTGAATTACCATAGCTGTTGCCCAGTTCAGTACAAGTGAACGTTAGTAAGGTGCTTATTCAGCAGAATTCAACGAATATGCACCGAGGATACTTTAGAAGATGAAAGAAGAACACTGACCGATATTTTGTTGGAAAATAACTATACATCAACATTTATCAGACAGAACAAAATTAGCAGAGCGTCAAAACTAGAACTGCAGTCAGTTCCAAAGAAGGATGTCTTCATCAGCCTTCCGTACAAAGGTGACTCTCAGAGTGCAATCCTTAAGCAGAGACTTAACGCTGCTGTTAGAAGGACTTACTATGCAGCCAGGGTTCGAGTAATCGAAACCCCGAAGCCCGTATATTCCCCCAAACCCCCACAGCATGTGAACGATAATGTCACATCCCATTGTATCTACCAATTCAAATGTACGTGTGGTGACACATACATAGGGAAGACTAATAGATCCATGCAAGTAAGGGCCTCGGGACATATTCCAAAGTGGCTTCAGAAGCAAATTAAATCACCTGAACCTATAAATGTTGGTAGCAGACGTCCAAGTTCTTCGATCGCCAAACATATCGTTGGGACAGGTCACAAGATTGATGTGGCTACTTCCTTTACACCTATCTACAAAACATGTTGGGGAGGGATCCTGAAATTTGTTGAAGCCTTAGCTATTAGGAAGTTGAAACCACCTTTATGTATTCATAAACAATTTGTTGTCACACTAAACCTTCCTTGGTAAATTCAACTATTGAAAAACCAAGTTCGATGTACTATTATTTTTTCGCTCTATTGATTTTTGTTGTTATTCGGCCTTTAAGTCAGCCTTCCTACCTGACCCCTTTTTATTTTCTCACCCCTTATCTTCATGAGTTTTTATATAAATACCTATGACAAGTACGTGTGTGATCAGATAGTTCGAAATGTGTTGCGCAAATACATTACACGGTTCAGACAATTTACGTCTTCTTATTGTTTTGTCGAAGTTTATAAAGGGAACTAATTGTTTTAATTTCTTGAAGAGGACACTAAGATTTGTCGAAAAGCTGACTGACTAGCTGTCTAATATAATTCTAGAGAAATGAAGAATTTTCAGCTTCTTACTGTAACTGAGTATAACAAGTATAGTTTTAAATAAAATTAATCAAATAAAATTTTCCAAAACCAAAAAATTAATTTTTAACAAGATGGTTTTAGTTGCCTGATACCCTAAAATAGCATGGCATAATGTCTTGTTACTGAGATCGTTTGCCAGTTCCCACACCCATTATTATCAGCTAACCTCCATCAGTAAAGAAGCCTTGAACAAGAGATTTATACACATTAAACAAATGACATAGAGAAAAACGATAAAAGAAACATTTATTGGATTGTCATTTAACCATTATGATATAACTTTCAGTAGTGAGTAAGATAACTTACTACACTTTCTTTGATACTGTCAATGAAACTTGCTTTTTCATTCCCTACCCTGGCTGACATCTGTGAGATGACGATTTACCATACAAAGCCAGTGGGGTTAGTTTTTAATCATATTCAGTTTTTGAAATACATGCTTTAGACAGTCTCTGGGTTTTGTTGACAAAATCTACATGTGATAGAAGTCAGTGTATTAAACTTCGTCAACTATTCTACTCCCTGCAATTGTCGACATCGAAAAAGTAAGCTATTAGTTTATATTATTTGAGTTGGATTTAGTTACATTCGGTCTCAAATTGGACAAACAACATATTTTAAATGTCTCTGTCGACTGCTGTCCATTATTAAGGATGAATAAAATAACAGTTAGAAATCATATTAATCTTGCCAAAATTACTAGTTTCAGTGAACAACATTAAGTAAGCAATTTATTTTTTAAACATTACTGGAGAGAAGAAAACAAACTTTACATTGTTTGGGAAATACAAACATCAAAATAATAAGGAACTAGATTTCTTCTTTAAACTCAAGAATTAATTACAAATTACAACCTTCATAAAATTGCAGGTGAATAGATACAAAATTATTTCCCTATTGGTTCTCATAGTTTTTTTTGATAAAGTATTCTTCTTCAGCCGAAAATTCTATTAGATTTTAGAAAGATTTGGAAAATATCATTTTAAAAAAATCTAGATTTTGTCAAAATTCCGTGCAATACTGACTGTGTAACTTATGCAAATCAATCCAACCTAAAGAAGATGCATGAGTGAAGAACAGTAGGATTCATATGCAACAATGCACTTGGTTGTATATCAATACATACCACACGGTTGGATAATATTTATAGTGTAGCTATTCTTTACGTTGGTGATATCAGGAATACACTTAAATATCCAGTAGGGGGGGGGGAATTGTATGGTATTAAATTAAACGAACATATTCAAATCTTGTCAAAGTTAAATTTAAACTTATGGATCTCAACTTCTGTAAATGAATGTCGGTAGAGCCAATTAAATTCATGATCATAAGATATAAGGTAATAAAAGTGGCTGGTTGTTATGCCATTCATTCATAAATGCGTTTATTATTCTATTAGTCTCCCGATGGTTTCTTCTACTAGCATAGTACTTTACACTATGTTCCAAATTCTAAACGGACTAACCTAGTCTCATGTCTGAACAAAAATAACCTATTCATCATTATTTTACTAGAAGCAGTCAGACACTGAGAATTCGAGACAGGAAAGGTGTTACTTTTAAAAGTCACAACTGATTAAAATTAGTATTTTATCAGTAAATCATTGATGAAAAGTTTACAAGCAATAATAATTTTTTTTTATTTTGGTAGTATTTCAAGCAAAATCACTGTATTTATTATGATAACAATAATTATTAAAAGAATTCAACGGTTGGTGTGATCATGGACAGTGATTTTGCTCGAAATATTACCAAAATAAAAACTTATCACTGTGTGTAAACTTTAGACTAATAAACCTCAGCGCACTGCTGAGGAGTCCCATACTAGGACGAAACAGCTGTCCAGTGCTCCCAGGTTTCCTTTGTTACTCCAACTGATGTCAGTTTACGATGAATAACAACTTGAAATTACAAGTAGTTTATGAATTCATTCCACAATGTATAAACTTTGTATTGATGTATTTCATTAAAATTACATGCTACCATTTTAAAGTTTTTACCAACTTACCGTTCACTAAATTCATAATCAAGATAAAAATGATAACTACCAATGTTTTATTGAATTCTTGTTTCATTTTTAACTGATTTTGATGAAATCAGAAGTTTGATCTTGTGTTCTTAGCAATGGAATAATTTTTTTCAAATGTTCATTTAATATTTCAAAACTTGTTCAAATATTGTACATGGTGAAGTTTTTAATTTTACAAGGATTCTATATTTTATATTCTTTAATAAATCTGATTATTGCAAGCTAAGCAGAAAATGCAATCAAATATATAGATATTTTTTCGCTTATATACTGAGGTATAAACATGTATGTCTGTGCATAGGATAAAACAAGTGCATATATGTATACCTGTATATGTGTATGTGAAAGCACATATGATCTTTCAGCTAATCATAATGCACCCGAATTCACATCTGTGCATCGATTTTCTTTCATTCTGTTAGATGATATCAAAAAGTCTCCAGGTTAGTATGAAAAGAAAGATTCTAGCATCTTCCTTTTTACTGGTTCTATATAAATCTTCCACGACAAATTTGGAATGAACAAAAATGTTCTCCTTTTTTTTACTTTATTAGATTATTATATATTTCTAGAGACAAAAAGTAATCGCCTAGAAATTAAGTCTAAAAGTCAAATGTTTACGGTGAATAGATTTCCTACTTAGTATGGTAAATGTTAAGTGTATTTTCTGGATGGATTTCGAATTGTTAGGGTTGAAGAAAATGAGCGTAGCGTGTGTGCCAAAGTACACTTAAGTTAACCATTATTATGACAATACTTCGTGCGTAAATGTCCGAATGATATTCATTGTTCAACTGACATTTGTTTTTAGTCTTGTAGTATATTGAAAATTGAATCGCCTAACAGACAGTCAGAAAAGGGTAGAAAGAATGACTGCAAATATCATTACATAGTTATCCATTCAGTAGATTAAGTTATAACCACTGTGACCAATATCAAAGAAGAGATATTTTTAGGAAGAAAGTGAAAATCAATTTTATTTACAGTACAAATGTTACCTAACTATTCATGCATATTTTAATCTGTTATCTTGAACTGAATCGTTAACATGATTATGATAATTTACTAAATAGGTGACCAGCATGCTGTCTGATCTTGATTGGGAAATCAAATGGGACTACAATTTTGAAACTTAGCAGAATCAGTCTATATTTAATTGTAAAACTTTTGAGCTATTTCCAGTGTTCACGGTGAGATATTTAATATGAAAATTATAAATTCCGAAGTTAGTCGTAATAGTGAATAAGTATCACCTAAATATTAAACGTAGGTCAGCGACTACTATTAAGTTGATTTGTTTCTGTCCAGTGCTTCTCACCAGTGTTTACTTCTAAAACTTTCCAAAAATAAGTTAACGTTATTCAAGTACTGTGATGAACAGGTTGCACTATATTCAATGTCTACAGGTCCCATGATCTCTATGTCGTAACCGTATTAGGCAAATATTTCACTATGTGCTTGCACTCTCAGGATAGTTTGCACTTGTGCTGAAGTTGGGTACTTAGACTCCTGATAATTATTTCATCTTAATCGAGAGGCAGTTGAGAGACACCAGGTTCACGATCAGAAAACAAATCCAAATGATGTTTCAGAAGTAATTCTATCTAGAGGTTTGTGGAGGTTTAATAATTGATTTTAGGTTGGAATCCATTGTGAACTGAAATCAGTTGGAGGAACATTGGAAACCTTAGAGTACTGGACAACTGTTTTGTCCTAGTATGGGACCTCTCAACAGTGATCACCCGCCAGGGATCAGACTCAGGACCTTCAGGTTCAGTGGCCAGCAAGTTACCATTGTGCTACTGTGTCTCAATCAAGTGACCCACATTTCCTACTTCTGTCAGTTCACGATACAACGCGACATCTATCCAATGTCGTCGATGAATAACTGTCTTCATATTCGACTTGGTTGATACTACTAATCACAACTTCACACTGTAACTTCAGGAATCTTCTGTCAACGCTAGTCACCAATGAGCGCTAGGAATAAGTTTGAACTACTTTTAAGCAGCAGTAGTACATCGTTTTTCAGTGATAGAATCACAAATGATTTTCATTTTATTTAATTTGGTTACTTAGCTGATTAGACGGTAACTGGAGTAATGTTTTAATGGTCCATATTTTTAAATTGGTTTGAATAACATATGGTGAAATGCATACTTCAGTATATCAGTGACTGTATTATAACTTGAAAAGCCAGCATTTTGGTTTGCTGTACGATAAAATTCAGTCATATGTAAGTTACTTGTCATAAGAAGCGTCACAGCCTCATAAGATGACAATTCCTTGTTTTAGACTGACAATCAAGTTAACCTTTGGAGCTAAGACAAAAAAGTAGATATTTAGATATCTATTGCTGGGTAGCTGAAAAAAAAATACCACTTATCCATTTCAAGAAGGAGTCATAGTGTCTTCTTTTGTCGAAATTGTAATCATATAGCTCGATGTTTTTCACAGCTAGTCTGAAACTTTTATTATTCCTGATAAAGAGCTTTACAAAAAGCAATAACTACCGAGATCTGAGGATGTGAACATTAAGTACCTAAGATTTTTGTAAATAAGAGAAAAATGAACTAAATATCTTTGAATTATTACTAAATGCATGAGGCACAGCTTAGGTTGAAAGATAAGTGCAGAAAGAGATGATCTATAGGTCAAAAAGAAATATATTTCTTGTGTGTTTGCTCTTAGAAGAGATAAGAAACTCATAAGACTTTCCCAAGCAAATAAAAACCCGTTCGGAGGACAAGTTACAAAAGATTCGGGTCTACCTTTCCTAACGGAAATTTGATTCTAGAAGATGATCATAATAGTTCATATCTTATGAATAGGATTAGAATGTCAGTTAACTCGTATACCTAAGAAATCTTAAGTTTAATTAGATGTCTAATAGAAATTTTGTCAATCTGACATGAATCATCATGAGGATATTCTACGTTATATATTTCATGTGTGTTGATAGTAAATGAGTATTCACGTCCATAATGAACTAGTGAACATACCAGTCTCTATCAGAGATTCATTTTCAGAAAACTGAAATGAAATGGACAAAACATAAATTTACATAGCTGAAAACCCTAAAGCCGAAAGGGAAATCTGATATATTCTTCGTTACCCAAAATCAGGAGAATCGACTCAAATGACAAAGTTAAAGATGAGTTAGGAAGAATTTGAAAAATACTCATATAGAGTAGATACTGATCCAAAATTATTGAGTAGAACGTAAAATCCAACCAGAACACAGAGCAAGCACTCACAGTTCCGATGAATTTTATACGCATATGGATTTCAGAAGCGATGCAGCAGTAGATATCCTGAACAATCAGCTGTTCAAATCTCTGTTAACCACATTTATCTCTGCCAAGCTAAAGAGTGATCTCAGGCTGTTCTTTTTAATCACCTGAGTATGTGTTTAAAAGTGTACTTGTTCTTGTGAAACTAGTTCTATAGGCCACTAAGGGCACACACTTTCAACATACATATCTGAATATTATTCTATATGGTTATCAAGGGGAGAATGTATATCCATTACCAGTTCAGTTCTTAGAAATTTAGCGATACAAATTCACCATAGTTATACTTCAGTGTTATTTACAGAGCCAAAAGAATAATTTCTAGAAGATTACGCTTTCGTAACTTATGGCAGAAGCACTTGCAATTCACCGGCTTAAGCATGATCTGAATCTCCTATTTTTCCATGGTTGTAACCCTTCCATTTTATTTTGGTCTTTCGATTTTATTAGGATTAGTCAGTCTTCTAACATCATCCTTACTATGCTGCTTGTTTCTTTTTTTGCTTTAACAACATCTTTACATCATGTGGACACTCAACCACCACACTTCAAATCTACCGGTAATTTTTTACTGTTGAACAACGTGGGTAGTTAGAAATCGCTCACTCTGACCCATAGATTTCACTGGCCATGTTGAGGTGATCTAAATACCACATGATCGTTTCGCTCGTTTGGAGCTGAATTTGTCAGTAGTTTATTCAGATGAAGCTAGCTAGCAGGGCCAAATAACCCAGAACGAAAATTTACACCATGTCAAATCCTTTGCCAATCTCGTTTATTGCACTATCTTAGAGAATACTGTGTAACTATTTTCTAACCCAACTTTTTATCAGCCCTGAAACTGTGATGACACGACTATATCTTATTAGTTAGTAAAGAACTGTTATATATTTGTGATATACATAAATATGACTGAACCGCTTTAGATGACGGTCTGTAGAAGCATTGCGTTACATAGTCTGACAGGAGCAGAAAGCAAATAAGTGACTGAGACATAAGGCAAAGGGTACTGAATATCATTACATCGAGCATATTTTTCTGTTCTTTGTCTGACTAAAAAAATAGTATATGAAAACTCCTGTTGAGGAGTGTCATCATTCAACATAAAGGTTTGAAAATATGTTATTAACCAATTTTTGAAGATTTTGTCAGAATGTAGGTGAGTTAAGTAAGCACTTACAAGAAGTTAAAATAACAGCATCTGTTATCTGTTTTTGTCTGTTTCAAAAGTCTGATGAAATAATACTACTATAAATCAGTTTGATGTGGTCAATATGCATCATATGTTTGTAAATATTACATAAATATGATAAATGGAAATGTGGTATGTTGTTTTTGACTAAAGAAGCAGACACCATATAAGGCTAAAAGGTAGTCATAAATACCTTGAATAAGGCCTCAACTTCTTAACTTTTCATTTTGAGTTACTTTAAAATCATCCTGTGCTAGGAATGTTATTTTTTAAGGAGCTTCATATGCTTCACGGTTTATTCTGAGGTTTTCCATGAATTTAAACGTTTTACTAATCTTTTACCAGCTTTCAAAAACGAATGTGTAGCCAAGAGTGAGTTATCTTAAAAGGCGACCAGTACTCAAAGGAATCGATCATCAAATGATGATGCATATTTCTTCAAGTATCTTCCAAACAACTAAACAGTTGCTTCCCTGACTTCTATCTTAAATAATGTGGTTTGAGTGGTAAAAGATTTTGTCTCAGGCTGATTGCTGGATACCGCTGATTGCATAGAAGTAT